TCGGTCTACGAAGAATTTCGACGTTTTGTTTTCGGGCTCCTCCAAGGTGGGTTCTCGTGCGCCATTATTGTCTCGGCATGGTTATTGTGTAATTTATGGCACTTTATTGCTATTTATTATTGGTTTACTCGTTTTATCCAAAAGCGTATTGTTAAGTCACTACATTTTAGCTCCTTGGTCTTTACCCTACATGTAATTTATTAGCATGAGGCCATTGGCCATTGTTCCTGCCTGCTGCAGCCCTCCCAACACCTTTGCTATTCCTCACTAGCTGTCATTACTTCTGAAGTGATTGCAAAATGCAAGTGATGTATTATTAGTGACAAACTTCTCACGGGAGTAGAAAGTGAGGGCCTGCTCAAGTTCCTCCATTCAAATTATTAACTGGAGGCCTAGGTAGAATCTGAGGGGTGTTCACGGTCACCACAAACTCCTAAAGTGCAGTGTGTGTGGTGTGTCCAGCAGGCGTGGGGGTAGGGGATGGGTAGGCGGTCCCGACGTCACGGCTGTGTGCGGTGGACGGTCTGCTGTGGCAGGTCCCGACTGACCATAGCGTCGCTGTGTGTGGTGACAGAAGGCTGATGTAGGGATGCAGTGGGTGTAGCTTAGAGCCTGTGTACGGTCCGATCACACACAGGGCCAGTGAACAGCTCTCTGAAAACAGGGTGCCTGGGCAATTTGATTCACTTTTGAAATTCACTCAAAATTTGATTTGCTCTTGAAATTCACTTGTTTACACCATATAACAATTAGCCTGTGAGAGGCAGTGAGAGGGGAGGATGTCTTTTAAGTCACGTGACAAATCATGCTCCTGGCGCCCTCTTTTCAGATTCCACCCTTTTCTAGGGCCTGTTCCAACACCTAGAAAACTCCAGAACTCTCCAGTCAGCATTCAACATTTCCAGTCAGTTGTGAGGTCCACATTTGAGTGGAAGCTCTGGTCTACAATTATGGCGGACACGTTACATTTACAAATATAAATGGAAGACTTTTGACAGTAAATCTTACAATTTAAATGTAAAGAAAATTACATAACATTCAAATCTTGCATATCCAAAATGAAACAAATTTTGCTTTTTTAGAGTGGATTATTATTCTTTCTTGCATACCTAACATCAATCACCAGAAATCTCCAGATTGCATTTCTGTGCCTCTAGTAAAACTTACTAGAAGACCCTCCCTTCAAGAGTTTCTACTGGAGGTGCAAGAACAGGTCCATAGTAGGTTTAACCTGAGGCACTGGAATGCAGTTTGGAAATTGTTGCTTATTGGTGTCTGGGACACATGATAATGCTAATTTGGTCTCCCAAATCAAAATGTAGTTGTCATATAATTAAAAAAAGTCAAAATGAGCTTGAGTTTGATTGTCTTTACAATAAAAGTTATAAAGTTACCTATTTGTATTTGCCAAAATCATTTGCTTTCATTAAAAAAACATTACATTTTTTATGACTGTTGACCAGTCTTGAGTCCAGTCCAGTGTGGACCTCACAAATGACTGGAGCTTGCTGGTGGTATCTGGGGATCACCTGGTCAAGAGCTTGTGCTGTTAGGCACTTTCTGGTGTTGCTGGAATGCTGACTGGATAATTTTGGAGCTTGCTAGCTAGTACTAGCATGGACCCATGGGGCGATGCAATGGTTTCATCATGATTTAAGCATTCAAGTGATTTTTTTTTGTGCAACATAGATCATGTGACCATGTCACTAACATATTTTGAGTGAGATATTCCCAATTTGGACTTAGTGATAATATGCCTGTCCCAAAGGTAAGTTGGTAGAGCATTGGACTCCCAGTGCTCCAGGCTCCAGTTGCTCCAGCATTTGATGCATGAGGCTCCTGGCAGAGCTGATGGCCTGTGGTTGGTGGCAGCAGTAGCAGCTAATCAGTCTGTTGAGTGATGTGGGGTGTGTCTGCTTTGATGGACCCGCCAAACTTTGGAATCTAAGTTCTGTCACCTGGGAATGCCCAATTGCACAGTAAGGGTGGCCTATGGCACAAGCTATGCTGGATACTAACTCTGGCTCTGTCAATCCATCCATTCAATGGATACTAACTCTGGCTCTGTCAATCCATCCATTCAAAATTTGAGCCGAAGATATTAGAAATTGATGCATAAACATGCAAACTTATTAATCATAATTTTCTGTGCTGCCTGGAGGATTCCAGAAAGTAATTAGCTTTTAATAGTTTCCAAAATATTTTGGTTCTTTACTATCTTTCAATTCTTACTTTTGTCTGAAATGAAATCACAATTGGAATTGCAATTGATAATGTCTTTGACATAGTTTTACATAATAAACTTTTTAACAATGTGTATATGAAGCAGAAAGTCACCCTTTCATAACTCAAGTCATAGGCGGCGGAACGGGGAGGGCACCGGGGCACCGTGCCCCCCTTTGATTTTGGCATTATAACATTAGCCCTATGGGCGTTGCATGGAAACAATGGGACCAAAAGTCGGCAGTGCCCCCCCCCCCCCTTAATTGAAGGTGTTCCGCCGCTACTGACTACTACCTGTAGGACAGGTGCGGCTCTCGCGAGATTAAGCGGTAGGTTTTGCACTTTTACATTTCGGGTTATATCTCAGAAACTAACCGACCTACGATGAAGCCATTTTTCACGATCATGGCCGGCTTGTGAACCAACAAGTCGATCGCATATTCAACACTTAAATGCTTAAGACGACGAAGATATAGCCTAAAGTACACTAAATTTTCTAGGTGCAAAACCTACCGCTAAAACCAGCGAAACCTGTCCATCTATGAGCCATGATTTATTGCCCAGAGACATACTACCTATGTACTCATTACGGAGCGAGCGAAGCGAGCGGAGTCTTTCCTTAGATTAACGGAAATTTCTGAGTATGAGCGGCCGACCGTGCGGACGCTTTTGCGAGACTTATATCTCAGCAACCACTTGACTGATTTACACGCGGTAATTTTTGTAGGGTAGTTTCATTCCTTCTACCAAGTATTGGACTATTCCCGATGCATGTGGGTGACCCCTTATGCACGTGCCTCGTGCAAAACGAAGAGGTGTCGGTTTTGTAATTGTTGCAATATCTCGGTAACTACTTGGCCGATTGTGCTGAAAGTTGGCATTAGGTAGGCACCCACTAGGCAATGCATATCAATGTGCCAGAGTTGGGGTGCTGCTGCACGTGTGCACGTGCAGGGGTCGTTTCCAGATCTCGAGAACGGCTGGACCGATGGCGCTCAAATTTGATACACGGTTAGGGACCAGTTAGTCGGGTGCCGTGCACAAGTCAGTTGGGGGACCCATTTTGCACGTGCGGCTGGAACAAGAACGGCTGGGCCGAATGCGCTCAAATTTGGCACATCGCTAGGGACCGGTTAGTAGGGTGCAGTGCACAAGTTAGTTGGAGGTACCCCCTCGCACTTTCTCGCGTGCAAGGCCCACCCTCTCGCTCGCTCCGTTAGTCGCCCCAAAAGGCGTTTTACTGGTTTCAAATATATTTTCGTGGTGGTAAAAGTGAGTAGCAATAGCATTTTTTGATTAGACACAGGTGAAGTCTTTTTTAATTTCTTTTTTTTTTTAAACGCAACACAAAATGAGTGGAACTGTCCACTCAGGTTTTCTTTAACTTATATGTTTTGTTGTGTATCATGCAACAAAGTTAAGCTGTAAAATATTTTTTTTTTCATTTCTTACAATAATGTTCATTTTTGCCTCTATCAATAAAAGCTCAAACACCCTGATTTCCGAATGTGTGAATGGACACTGACCAGCCGGGTGCTCTCTGCTTTCAGAACCCGGAGAGCCTCCGACGGCTGTCGTCATGTCTCGGAGAGTCAGTATATGCCGTGTCAAAACGCCTGAGGGCTTTCAGCGCGCCTCCGTGCGAGCCGCAGGGGAATGACTCCGGCGGCAGAAGCAGCAGCAGCAGCGGCGGCGGCGCCAGCGCCCGGTCCTCCCCAGCAGCTGGCTCGGGCCGCGCCGCGCGCCGCAACGGGCGCACCCCGTCGGCAGAGCCGGCCGCCGCCGCGCCGGCACTCGAGTCTTTCAGTGGTGGCCGCGGAAGGACGCGGGCAGACTCCGCGCGAGTCGGCGCGCAGTCGCCCGCTGCCGAGGAGGCCGGCCGGCGCGGGCGCTCCCGCTCCCAGAGCCAGTCGGGCAGCCCTGCCCACCGGGCGGCCGGCGCGGCGGCCGCCGAGCCGGGTCCCGTGCGGACACGGCGCGCAGCGGCGGCCGCCGAGACGCCGCCACCAGTCGGCGGGCCGCCGGAGACGGCCGGCCGGAGCACACGCTCCACCAGCCAGCCGACCAGCGCCGCCGGTCCGGCGCCCACCGCGGCCGCCGGCCCCGGCCCCGGCTTAGTGGTGACCCGCTCCTCACGGGTGGTCCGACCTGCCCGGCGCTTCCTCGACGAGAGCTCGTCGTCCAGTAGCGCCTCGCCGGCGCCGCCTCCGCCTCCGCCGGTGGGCGAGGCCTCCTCCCGGCCGTCGCGGCCGGCGCGCGCGCTCTCGCCGTCTTCCGACGTCGAGCTGGACGAGGGCGTCATCAAAACGGTGGTGGAGTACGCGGACAGCATGGCAGCGGCGCCGGGCCGGGCGGCGGCGGCTCCGGCGGCGGTCGAGCCGGCTCCGGTGTCGCAGCCGGCGCAGGCGGACATCGAGGCGATGCTGCGCTCCCAGTGGGACGGCCGGCTGAAGGTGCGCGGCCGAGAGGAGGAGGCGGCCGCCGTGCCGGGCCGCCACCTGCTGCGGCAGCCGCGCCTGCACCTCAACAACCGCGTGCTGAAGCGGCTCCGGGACGGCCGCGACCTGACCTACCTCAGCGAGCAGGATGAGGCGCCGCAGCTGGAGCCGGAGCCGGCCGGCGCGCCGGGCGCCGGCAACGGCGCGCCCTCCGCCGGCAGTGGGCCCGGTAAGACCCCGCATCGACACTGACCTGATGTGGTTCTCTAAGGGGGGGGGGGGGCGACATATTTTTTTTTTAAGTATTGTTCAGGTTTGGTAATATTTTGATTTTTCTTAAAGATATGGTCTGGTGGGATCCCGTTTTGCCAGTTTTTTTTTTCTCAAAATTTGCGTGTGGCGACGTCACGAAAAGGCCACGACTAGCAAAAAAGTCGGTTTACCCAGGCCAAAATTTTACGGACAGTGTGATAGTGATGAAGAAGTTGCAAAAATTATACCATCATTCATAGGATTGACATAGGAGGATTGACATTGACATTGACATAGAATTGACATTCATAGGAGTTATTACAAATAATCGACTGTCAGTGGCCCTCTGGCCGCTGTAGCCGTGGTGGCCGTGCGGGACCGTATTGTCGATCGGCTGTGCCAGTCCACACTGTGGCCCGCTCCCCTGCAGCGCTGAGTCGACGGCCGGCCTCTGTCTGTTCCCCAGGGGGTCACGTGACGTGCGGCACTTGCGGCTCGCGCCGGTTTGTGGCTGTGCCCGACCTCTGCTACAAGTTCGGCAGCTGGATCTGTATGCACTGTATCAAATTCGTTCTCACCACATTGAAACAAACTTCACTCGCACCGAAATGTATCGACAATAAAGGTGAGAACAGACGGTTTTGAGTCACAGCCAGGGTTGTGTACATTCATTGTCACTCATATATTGGTGACTGACAATTCCTGTCACGAATTATTCTAATTACTTTTTAGGACTTATTTTGTTATTCATTTATTTCATTTTAACTATTACATAAATATTTTCTCTTTTTCTTTAAATGCTATCGGCGTTGCATCGAGCTGTTTTGCGATTTCCTTGCGGTTCGCTAAAATTTTGCACTAATATGACTTTGTCATCTAAATAGCTTAACGCCGTATCCAGAAAAGTAGTAGCCCGTTATGTGTACTGCTGGTGTTTCTATGGCTCTTCTCTGTAATCGGCCTGCTGTTTGAATGTGGCGAGTGCGATCGGCGCTGGCAGTCCGTTTCGTGTCTCCGTCGCCAGAGCTGTGCCGGACGCACGCCGATCCGTCGGAGCCGGAGCTGGCTCCTCCCGAGCAGCGCTGCGAGGCCTGCTGGCTCCAGGCCTGTCTGAACGCGCTCAACTTCTCCGAGGAGCGGCACAACCGGCTGCGCTCGAGTCTGCCGCGCTCCCACCAGGCGGCCGTGCCGCTGTTCAGCCGCAAACGGCGCCAGGAGACGGGCGGCTGCCAGTTCGGCCCGTCGCCGCCGCCGCCCGCCGCGGTGCCGGCGCTGCCGGCGCCGCCGCCCACCCGCTGCCCGAACAAGGCCTGGGGCGGCGGCGACGCGCGCGACTCGGTCGGCTTTGAGACGCTGAGTCGGCCGGCGGCCGGGGATTCCAAGGAGCCGGCGCAGGAGCCGGCCGGGAGCCAGCCGCCCGCAGCGGACGGGAACACCGGGTCCGAGGCCAACAGCGCCCCTGACAAACCAGCGAACAACCGGACAGAAGACACCGACGGCGATGGTTCTAATGACAAAATGCACAATGCTTCCGAGAAGGGGATATTGAAGGAGAACTCAACTTCTGTTGCTCCGCCGGGCACCGAGGCCCTGTCAAACGAGGAATCGAAGTCCGCCGAGCCCACCGTAACCGAGGGCGGTGCCAAGGACGAACCGACGGCCGCGGCACCGACTCGCGTCGAAACCCGGTCCAAAGACGACCTGAAGCCGGCAACACCGGCGCGGACCGAGACAGGGTCGAAAGATGAACCGAAGCCCGAGGTGCTGACGCGTCCCGAGACCCGGTCGAAGGAGGAGTGGCGGGCGGCGGCGCCGGCGCGGCCGGGGACCCGGTCGCGGACGGACCGGTGGCCGCCGCCGCCACCGGGCGTCCACAGCCGCAAGGCGGTGACGGTGGTGCCGCTGGGCGGCGGCTGGAAGCGGCGCGAGTTCGTCCGCAAGGGCGGCCGGCTGGACCTGATCGTCTACTCGCCGGACGGCACCCGGTTCAAGTCCGTGGTCGAGCTGCAGGCCTACCTGCGCGGAATGGACATCACGCGCAAGGCGCAGTCGTTCTTCACGGACGGTGTGCCGCCGCCGGCCGAGCCGGGCCAGCAGGAGCCGGTGATTCGGGACAGCTTCGTGAAGCGCGGGCCGCGCGTCAAGGTGGTGTGCCGCAGCGCGTCACTGGTGCTGGGCCAGCCGCGCGCCACGTTCGGCGGCGGCTCGCCGCCGGCGCCCACTCTGTCGCCGCAGCCCCCGGCGCTGTCTCCGCGCTCACCGTCACCGGGTGGCAAGGAGAACCGGGCGGCGGGCCGGCTGGACGGCTGGCCGCCCGGCCGGCGCCAGGCCGTCGGCGTGCGCAAGCTGAAGAAGCGACGCCATGTGGCCGGGGACGACAAGTCCAGCTCGCGGAATGTGCTCATGAAGCTGAAAGGTGAGCGCTACAGCTGCGGGGCGGGCTACTCTCTGGGACCGATCTGTCTTTGATGTATTGGCTGGCAGTCACGGTAGGCTCATTTGCAATTAATTGAATATTAAAATGGATAATGTCTCCTCTAACTACTGCATATTTTTAACGTTTGTTTAATTTGTTTTGAAACAGTAATTAAAATGGATAATGTCTCTCCTCTAATTACTGCATATTTTTAATCTTTGTTAAAAACTTTTTTTTAACAGAGGACTTTCTTTATTATACGCCTCCTGAAAAGCTCTATTATTTCTCAATCCATCCAAAGAATGTCTTGCGAGTTGAAACGCTGCCTACCGGGGCTGACTGTAATCGTTGCGTTTCGCAGTTTTGCACAAGTACAAACACCTCCAGCAGTCGCGAGGGAACAAGGAGCGTATTCGCAAGTCGCGCTGCGGTGTGTGTCTGGGCTGCAAGGCCAAAAACTGCACCAAGTGCGTGTTCTGCAGTGATATGATCAAATACGGAGGACCCGGCAAACTCAAGAAATCCTGCATGTGAGTCCTACGCATCACATTATGACATGCGTTCAAGGACGGCTTCTCGCAACAACTCGCTAATATTGTAACTTGCGTATATGATATACAACTTGCTAATATTGTGTCATGGATTAGTGCAAGTGGCGTTGTCTTACAGACTCTGTCCGTCCATCCGACTCTTTCCGTCCATCTGACCGACTGCGGCTGTCCCCGCAGCGCGCGGGTCTGTAAGCGGCCGCTGCTGCCCGGTGTCAACTCCCTGAAGCTGCTGCCGCCGCCGGCCGGCGCTGGTGACCGGTCGGAGCGCTCTCCGGAGCTGGCGCCGCCCACCGGCTCTCCGGCCAGGCCGGCTGACCGCGGCGCCTCGGCCGCCGCTCCCACTGTCCAGGTGAGACCCGGCGCACACGGCCGCCGTGGCGGCAGTGGGGAGGACGTGTCAGCCCAGAGCCCCCGACTAGTCTGTTTTTTTTTTGTTCTTTTGTGTGGCGCTTCCCTTTGCTGCAGCTGTCGTTTTTAATGCATAATTGTATTTATCCGAACATGTCCTTCTTATGCTGATCATTCGCCTTTTGCAACGGCTGTCATGAATTCCTGAAGCGAATTAAGGCACCTAAGTGTGCTCTCTCAGCCTGTCCCGGCGACGTTGGTCAGTGTTGGGCCGCCCGTTGGTGGCGGGGGAGCCCCGTTTCACCCCGCGCCGTCGGCTGCCGGCAGCCGGGCCGCCGGTCGTCGCCGCTGGTGCGACTGGACCACTGGAGCCCGCTGGAGCCGACCGAGCTGTGGGAGCGCGGCCTGGCCGTGCTGGCCGCCCAGCCGCCCGGCGTGCCGGTGCTCTGCTTCGTCTGCGCCAGCGCCGGACAGGAGGAGGTGAGCCGCCCGCACAGCTCGGCGCCCACCGGTGGACTTTCCACTCAACGAGCGGCAGCTCGTCAACGCACACTGCCATCAGAAGCCAGTTGGAGCTTACTTTGCAAGTCCGATTCATGGCAAACTCCAATGTGATGTGATTGTGGACTTACGCAAAGAAATTAGCGATGAAAATGTGATTGAGAGTTAAGCGTTCAATAAGCATTAGCAAAACATTCACGTGTCCCTGGATTAACCCTCGCCGGCACAGGGGGGGGGGGGGTTGATGCAACCCCCCCTAAGGTTTTTCGCGAATAACTCGCGTAAAAAGCGACCGATCGCGACGAAACTTTCAGTACCCTCGCATTGCTCAATTTTACACCAACCCTGAAAATTTCATGACCCTGACCCCAATGACCTTTGACCTGTGACCTCTTTTCTGTGACCATGTTTGGCCGAAATCGCGGTTCGGCGCATGTCGGCTCGCATTAGCCGCGCGTTTGCAAGCTTTTCGTGGTTTCAAACGTTCAAACATGTGATTTGATGTTGCTCCCATGCATTAGGGTGGGTGTCAAGGTCACCTGAAGGTCAGGTCAGGTCATTGACCTTTGGTGACCTCGGGTGACCTCGGTTCACTTTTTCGAGTTTTACATGTTTCTAGGCTAGTTTTTGGAGCTGAATTCGAATTTAGCAACCATTTGAGCATTTACGAAGTAGTTTTGGTGCCTTCGTAACATGTTACGAAGCTGTCCGAGGCGGTTGACACGTATTACGAATACCCGTCACAACCCCTACCGGTTGACCTGACCTGACCTGACCCGACCTGGTCTAAATGCTTAAAGACATCATCTCTGATCAAAACTAACACGATATTCGTGATCAGGACCCCTGAAAACCACATGGCAGCCACACTTTACGACTTTCTAACAGGTTCCGATTTTCCCGGTTTTCGGGTCATTGACCTGACCTGGAAGGTCACCCGATGACCTAGGACCTTAAAATTGGGTATCATCGGCTTCCTCTCGTGACGGGCAACACGCTCGTTTTTTCCGCGAAGCTCTAGCTCGATCAGGGGCCAAACGCGAGGGGGGTCGTACCAACCCCCCCCCCCTTGTGCCGTCGAAGGACTCAAAATGGCCTGTGCCGGCGAGGATTAAGCTAGTGTATGGGTTGTAAAATAGCTTGAGGCATTTGTGATCAGCCGTCGGCGGTGGTGGCGCGGTGTGTAACGGCCGCCTGTCCCCAGATGCTCTATTGCAACTCGTGCTGCGAGCCGTACCACCCGTTCTGCCTGGAGGAGGTGGAGGTGCCGCTGTCGGCGCTCCACCAGGAGAACTGGGTGTGCGCGCGCTGCCAGGTGTGCTGCGTGTGCGGCGCCGCGCCGCCCGGCCAGCCGCTGCACCGCTGCCACCAGTGCAGCGAGACCTACCACCTGGCGTGCCTGGGGCCGCACGGCTGTGCGCCGCCGGGCCGCTCCGACCAGCCGTGGGTGAGTACCGCCGCCGACCGGTCCCCGGGCGTCCGGACGGCCCACCGCCAACGCCGACCCGTACCGACGGGACCCGCCTCCGCGGACAGCCTGCGGAGACGGGTGACTGAACATTTACCGTGGTTCACACAGATCAGGCTCACAGCCGACGGCGTCTTGTATAAAGTATATGGAGTCGGCTTCTCTCGTGACATAGCCCATTATTTTGGCATCGGTCTGGAGTCTGTACAGGCTGGGCTTGCATGCGTGCTCTCTGTCTGACCCGGTGGGCGCTGCTGGGCCGTGTGTGGTGTCCGAGTGTAGCTGTGAACTGTGCCGCTGTGTGTGCTGTGTACTGTGGTGTGTGCTGTGAGGCCAGTTGCAGCCTGCCGCCCCGGCAGCGCGCTGTCCCCCGTGTGCCGGCGGAGCCGCGGCGGCAGACCGCCGGCGCCGCGCCCAGCACCTGCCTCCCAGTCCACTCTGCCCGCCCGTCCTGGTGGCCGCCTCCCGCCGAGCGCCGCGCGCCGCGCGCAGACACACGGACGGCGCGCACACAGTGGGCACACGGGCGTGCGTCGGCCGGGGCGGCGGCTGGCTGGCGGCCGGCGTCGTGCTCGCTCTCTCACGCCGCCGCCGCTGCTCGCCGCCAGATGCTCGGCTGGCCGTTCGCGCCGGCCGGGCCGCACGCGGAGCCGGCCGGCGCCGCCGCCTGCTCGCCGCCGCCGCCGGCCGACCGGCTGACGCCGCTGGCCTGCCTCTCCTGCTACGACCTGCCCAAAGTGGAGGACCCGGCCGCCGACCGGCGGTCGCCCATCGCCTGGGGCCGGCCGGCCAGCCCGCCGCTGCGCTTTGACCTCGAGGAGTTGCTGGGCGGCGCACCGGGCGGGCCGGGGCCGGCCGCGGCGGGCCCCGAGTCGGACGCGGAGACGGACTGCGGCAGCGACGTGTCGGCCGTGGAGGAGCCCTCGTTCGCCGGCTTCTCCAGACGGAGCGTGTTCGGCGGCGCGCCGGACGACGGGAGCGACGCAGCCCACGAGTCGGACCACGACGAGCGAGACGACGCGCTGCTGGCCATGCTGACCCGGGTCGAGGACGGCGACGAGACGGACGCAGAGGATCAGCGGCCCGTCGAACACCGCAAACGGAAAAAGCGGAGGAAGCGGAAGCGGCTCGGCCGGCCGCCGAAGAAGTGCCGCTGGAAGGAGGTGAGCGCCCAGCGGCGCGCCGAGGCGGCGGCCGCGCGCGCCGCGCCCACCCCGTCGCCGGAGAAGGCGGTGCGTCTGGTGCCGCGCGCGCGGCCGCGCTCGCCGCCGCTACCGACCGTGTACACGATCCCGCTGCAGTACGAGCTGCTGGACCAGGCGGCCGCGCTGGAGCTGCTCTTCGCGGGCATGAACGGGCCGTGCATGACGGGGTCGGAGCTGGAGCGGATCGGCCTCCAGCTGCCGGAGACGGTCGAGTACCGTGAGCAGGGCGACGCCGGGTCCTCGGACGACTCCTCGGAGGCCGACGAGCCGCTCTCGGTGGTGGACTTTCTGCGCGAGACGGTCGACGCCGAGCTGGACGCACTGGGCTACCCGCCGGCCGCTGTGCCGTTCGTGCTGGGCGCCGGTCGGCCGCGGCGGCGCCGGCGCCGGCCGCCGCTCTCCGAGCCGACCTCTGCGGCCACCCCGGCGCGCCGGCCGCCCGTCCCCGGCTCCCAGTGGGCCCGCAGTCGCCTGCCGCCCGGCATGAGCGAGATCGAGTGGGAGCGCTGGCGGCGCCTGCTGCCGCCGCGCAAGGGGCGCCCGAGGAAGTTCCCGCGGCCGGACGACCTGCTTCTCATCGAGCAGCTGAGACAGGTGAGCGCCTCAGACGGGCACGGGACGGGCCTACGGCGCCTCAGATGGGTACGGGGCGGGCCCGACCGCCTCAGACGGCTCAGCGCCGCTCGCCGGTCCAGGTTATCAGTGCCTTCCAATCAAGACACTTTGTTGCAGTTAGCAAACATTTGAAGCATATGCATTGAACAGGTTACAATAATTCAGCAGTCAGTTTTATGGTTATATTATTGTATGCTATTTTGTTCTGTTTTCCCTGTCATTTCACTTACAGCGATTGCCGTGTGGATCTGACGTGTCATTCGCCACTAGCTCTGATTAGAGAGGCACGCCGACCCATTGGGAACTGATGTGTACCTTGGTGTTGCCAACTGTAGAGCGATTCGATGGCGTGTCGTTGACGGTTTTTCCGCTTCACAGAACGACCCGGCGCTGCGGCTGCACGGACCGCCTCCGTTTGTTGGCGAGGGCGTCGACTCGTATTTATACGACGAGGACGAGCCCGGGACGACGCCGGCCGGCGGCCGTCCCTCGTCCTCCACCTCAGGCGAGGAAGAGGAGGAGGAGGAGGATCCTGACGACCCGGCCGCCGCCGACTCCGAGGGGCCGCCTGAGCTGGAGCGGGAACAGGAGGCCGCCGAGCCGGCAGACCGCACCCCGGCCCCGGCGCGGCCGGCCAGGCGCGGCTCGCGACACGGCGTCTCGGCGCCCGGCCTGTACAAACGGCACTACGTGACCTCGCGCGCCGGCACCGCCGACGGCCCCTCGTACCGGCAGCTGCTGGGCCTGCGCGGTGCCCGCCGGCCGGCCGCCTCGCGGCTGCTGCAGGCGGGCCGGCGCGCGCTCAAGGCCGCGCGGCGCCGCACCGCGCTCTCCCGGCCAGCGGGCAGGTCGCCGAGCAAGGGGTCTGGCTCGGCGCAGAGCTCGCCCAGGAAAGGAGACTCGGCAGCAAGTCCGGCCCGGCCAGGTCGGCGGCCGGAGAGGGGCCCGGCCGGCAGGACGCCGGACGGCGCCAGCTCTGCAGAGGAGTGCTCCGATGGGGGTCGGGGGGAGGGGGCGGCGGAGGGAGACCGGCCCGGCTCGCCGCTCGACTGGTGTGATGCGCTGATCGAGGCCGTCTCGGACGTGTCCGGGGCGGCGGAGGACGCGCTGCTGGCGCCCGAACAGGGCGAACAGTCGGACCCGGAGGTCGGCCCGCTGCGGCCGGACCAGGAGGACGCCCTGCTGGCAGACGACGGGCCGCCGCCGGCCGACGACAGCGGCGACGCCTTCCTGCTGGCCCAGTATGTGGACGTGCAGGAGCCCGCTCGCCCCAGTTCACCGGACAAGTCTGTGGCGCGCGCGGCGGCCCGGCGACAGGACGCCAGCGCCGACCCGTACGCCAAAACGTACAGCACCGGGGCTGGCCGGCGGCGGCGGCCGCGCGGTGATAGCTGAGGCTGCCGGCGCGCCAGGTGCCCGAAACGACGCGCCGGGGGGGGGGGGGGGGTATCAGAGCGTGGGCCGTTTTAGTCAGGTGACGCAGCGCGCCGCTGCCATTTCTCATCGTGAGTTCATTGTGTCCGCGCATATTGGGCGCGCTCGCCGATCTCCAGTGGTGTGAGCGCCGCGTCTTTGTGTTCGTCGCGTGGTGTGCGCGGAGCGAGCCAGCCGCGGCTGGGCCGCCGACTGCCTCCGAGTCAATACACTTGGTCATTGCTGTACGTCGACTCGGCGTGTGTATGTCCGTGTGTCTGCCTGCGACTGTCGGCGTCGGAGGCTGCCATCCTTCCACATTCCTACATTTGTGTCACCCTTCTATGTGTTTTCCGTTGTGAACTGTCTTGTAATCATGTCATTGTGTTTTTTCTCCGCTATGCAGCCGTTAATTTCGCATGAATTTCTCCTAATTTGTCTACTCTACTTATTTGATGCGACATGCGCATGCTTTCACCAAGGCGCAATCAAGTTACTTAAACTCTTATAGTGGTGTCTCTTCTTACCACCACGTTTTATTTATGTCTGATTGTAACCTGCCCGCATCACATCCGTTCCTGCCTTGTTCAATAGTGTTGTATTTATACACATTTTTATCCTGCCATCCTGTATCCTGTTATACAATCTGGTGCATTTCGCGCCTACGATTCCATGCCTAGCAGTAGCCGCACTGATGCTCGCACGCATGAACGCTACACGGTGCTAACTAACCAGCTTTCCGTGCTCACAAGGCAGCGTTACAGTTCGCACACTACGTCTTGTTGGTATTTGTAAAACTGGCGGGCCGCGCCGTCTGTTTTGGGAGTAGGTGTCTGCTCCTCGTGATAAACCGGAATCCCAATTACACGACGATTTAGGGCTTTTTCCAGCGCTTCGAGTCAACATTTGTTGCTGGTGCTTTTTCTAGCCAGTTTTATTAGATGCGCCGGTACACGAGCTGGGGATTTTTGGTGGCCCCTACTTTTTTTCGCCGCGCCTTAGCTAAAAAGAAAAAACTGAGCGCCGCAGGAGCCAACTTTTGGGTACCTCTAGGGAGTGAGTTGAAATTTATTGACATAACATGAAAAAAGTCGGTCGGGAAGTCGTTGAGATCGATGTTTTAGTGACGTCATGATTTCTGAGTTTTCGACCACAAACGGCATATGCTCAAAAAATCATAAAATAACGGGACAGACGTACAGACATGACGTAAACGCCATTAGACTGCCAATACCATACACAATGAAATGGCTGTCCTCGATTTTTGATTATCACCTACCTTTTCCAAAATCTATTGAATCTTGGCAATTTCTCTACTTCACTACCATGATCATTTCTAAAAATGATCTTTTTCGACCAAATACGTACACGTATTATGAAATGGAGGGCATTACCGTGTTCTACGCCTTAAAGCACCAATGAAACGTGTCATATGCTGTAAATGCCTATTTTGCTCTTGGGGGATATGTTTTTACCTGATAAATCTGACCTTGACCCTGACATCTGCTTGACTGACCCCTACATGGATCCGACACTCAATTAACACTTATATGAAGGATTGTGCACAGTCTTGACAGAGTTTATGACAAGAGACGCCCAGTACGAGGTTTCATTCTAAAGTCGATACTACTGAACTCCATCCGGCTGCAGTCACCACTTATCTGTCCAACGGGCCTGAATCGTAACCTCTCCGCCGGGCCGGGCACAGTTATATCCAACCGCGCTGTCATAAGAATAGGAAAGTGCCTTAGGCGAGTGATTGCCAAATAAAGTCCTTTGTGGGTCTGGCATCGCTCACGCCTGCCGAGGCTGCTCTTGCGAAGGTCGTACGAAGCTGACCTTTGTGTCGTAGTCTTTCGGAGACTGCCAATCTCACCGTAGGCGAGCCCGAAGTCGAACGCATCAGGTGAGAACTCAGAACGTCGGATTGAATTATTTCGGCTGGGGCGCTGCGCCTCGCCACTCCGTGTCCGTGTCACCCACTTGTATGTGTCGCTGATCCGTGACCCGTGTCACTGACCCGTGACCCGTGTCTGTCGCGGCGCAGACCTGTGTGCGCTGCACGCGCTGCCGCAGCTGCCAGAAGGCCGAGATTCACCAGTACGTGGGCAACCTGCCGCTGTGTGGTAACTGCTTCCAGCTGCACCAGCGCGGCAACTACTGCCCGCTCTGCGGCGGCTGCTACGAGGATGACGACTACGACACAAAGGTGAGGGCCGGCTGGCCGGGTACCGCTGCTCTCCCCCCCCCCCCCCCCCCCCACAGTTTGTGTTACGTTACGCGCGCAGTCCAGTTTCGTGTTTGGTTAGGATGCGCCAACCCAAATGCGTTGCATGTGCGGGGAAGTGTACCAACGGGAAATACCACGTCATTCCGCGCTGACCGTAGCCGCCTGTTCGCTCCCGCAGATGATGGAGTGCGAGTCGTGTCACACGTGGGTGCACGCCCACTGCGAGAGCCTCTCGGAGGAGATGTACCAGATACTCAGCTTCCTGCCCGAGTCCGTCTCCTACCTGTGTGACCGGTGCCTGCCCCGGCCGCCGGCGGCCGACGGCGCAGAGCCGGCCGGCTCGCCCGAGCGGCGCCGGCTGCCGCGCGAGGTCTCCTGGCGGCGCGCCGTGCGGCACGAGTTCGAGAGCGGCTGCGCGGCCGTGGTGCGCGCCGTCTGGGCGTGCCTCAGCCGGCGGCCGGCCGCGCCGGACCGCGCTGACGACGGAGACGGGCCGGTGCCGGCCGACGGGCCGCCGGCTGAGGACGACCAGGTGGTGCCGGACGCGGCGGCCGCCAGCGCCGAGCCGCCGACGGCCGCGCGCCTGCGCCAGCTGCGCACCCAGCTGCGGCGCGGCGACGTGGTCAGCGTGCGCGCCTTCCACCGGCTGCTGCAGGCGGTGCTGGCAGAGGCCGAGCAGGCCGGCGCCGGCGGCGTCATCCGCGCCCGCGCCGCCTACCAGCGCGCCATGGCCGACGCCTTCCCCTGGTTCCAGTACGACGGCCGCGTCGTGACGCCCATCAAGGCGGGCGTGGCCCACCCGGACCACCCGTACGCGGCGGGCGCCGGCGCCCCCGCCGCCGCCCTGATGACCAGCCCCACGGAGGTGCGCGCGCGCGCCTCTCCCAGCAAGTACACGCGCACGCCACTGAAGCGTCTGTCGGCCGCCTCGACAGGCAACCACGACCAGTTCCGGCCGCTGATCGACCTCTGTAACCGGCACTACCAGTCGCTGCGCGCGCTGGAGGCGGGCCGGCTGGCGGACTCGCGCCGCTGCGGTCTGTGCGGCCGGGACGGCGAGGCTGGTCCGGCCGGCCGCCTGCTGTGGGCCGGCGCCGGCCTCTGGCTGCACGTCGGCTGTCTGCTGCACTCCACCGAGGTGTTCGAGGAGGTGGACGGCTCGCTGCGCGCCGTGCGCGCCGCCCTCCACCGCGGCCGCCAGACGCGCTGCCACGTGTGCGCCGGCCGCGGCGCCACGGTGGCGTGCGGCCTGCGCAGCTGCGCGCGCCCCGCCCACCTGCCGTGCGCCGCCGAGTCCGGCTGGCACTTTGGCGCGCTGCCCAGCTGCCCGGAGCACCGTCCGGAGGGCGCGCCGGCCGGCTCCGGTCCGCCGGACCCCGTGCGGCGGCGCGTCTTCATCGAGGAGGGCGACTGGCTGCGGCGCCGGCCCACCGAGGCGCCGCTGGACTCGGCCGCCGCCGTGCTGGGCAGCCTGACCGTGCACTCCTTCGGCGATCGGGTAAGTGTCGGAGTGGGTATCGAGGGACTGCAGTCCATCTCTGTCTGCGTTGTTCGCTGTCAGTACAGCGAGTCCCCGCCGTCTGTACTGTGAGTCTCCGTCGTCTGTGTAGTGTCCCCGCCGTCTGTGACTCTGCAATGGGTTTCCGGCAGTGGGTTTGTGCGGTGAGTCTGTTGGCTGTGCAGTGTGCAGTGAGTTTCTGTGTGCTGCACTCGGTGCTGACGGAGGTCGGTCCGCCCGCCAGGTGGTCCCCTCGGGCCGCTCGCTGATGCCAGTCGGTATGACGTGCTCGCGCGTCTACTGGTCGACCATCAACCCGCGCCGGCGGACGGTGTACACAGTGCGGACGGTGAGCGCCGGGCCGCTGCCGCCCTCGGACCGACACTGCCTGGTGGACCACTCGCTCAGCCACGCACAGGTCAGTCGCGCCCGCGCCCGCCTGACATACCGATCAGCTCTGCGGCGGCGGTCCGTCCGTGCACCCCGCCAGACTGTAATGCCACGCTTGAGTTTGCAATGGATTTAATATTGCATTGGATACTTAATTCTTTGAAGTGAATTTAGTTTGTAGCTTTTGTGGAATGGATGATGTATGCCCACCTGGGCAGTGGTGATTTACTCTGTCGTGGAAAACAGCCTTCGATGACGGTCGGCGGCTCCCCTGACCGCCCCTCTCCGTTCCCTCTCCGTGTCCCTCTGCCCCGGTCACGGGCCCCATACCCGCCCCTCCCCGCGCCCCGCGCCGGGCCCTGCGGCCGCCGCTGCCCCGGTGGTGACCGGCTGTCCCGCTCTGCCAGGTGGAGCGCTCGCTGCAGCAGCTGGAGGAGTGGCGTCGCGCCGTCTCGGCCCGCGCCGGACGGCCGTCCGCTGCCGCCCGGTTCACCTTTGAGCCAGCGGCCGAGCCGCGCGCGAGCGCCGCCCCGGCCGAGCCGCCCGCCGGCTGCGGCGCCTCCGAGGACCACGAGCAGCAGGTGAGCGAACTGGCTGCGCCGGAACAACCGAAACCGACTGAATGTGGCCGCCTGTGGGCAGGGGGCGTGCTCCTGACCGGGCTCTGGTCTAGTATCGCTATCATGACGGTTGTGTCACCAGTAATGTATTACCTGCGCTAGGCCGAGTGAGAGCCGTGTGCCATCGCCCATGCTATCCCTCGGTACTGAACCCGTGTCGCGTGGCTGGCAGGTGCGCTCCTGTCTCGAGTCTCTGCTCGGCAACGTCTGCCGCTCCGTCGTCGAGGAAGAGGAAACGCTTCTGGCCGAGGCCAACCTCAACATCCCCATACTGGAGAACGTCGACAACGACTTCCTCAACCTGATGCTGAAGGAGCTGTGTGAGGGGGACGGCGCCACCTACCTGGGCGGGGAGGGCGGCGGCGGCACTGCCGGGACGGCCGCCGGCCTGCCGGCGCAGCCTCCGCAGCAGCAGCAACAGGAGCAGCAGGAGCAGCAACATCATCATCAGCAGCAGCAGGAGCAGCATCATCACCAACATCAGCACCACCATCATCAGCACCATCACCAGCACCAACATCAGCAGCCGTCGGATCACGGTGACGGCGAGCTGGGCGGCCGGCACCTGGCCGGCGTGTCCGAGGCCATGGGCGTGCCGTGCGACTCGGCGGGCGCCGCCGGCCTGGTGACCGACTGCGGGCCGCGCCGGGCCGCGCTCAGCATCGACTGCCAGCGCGCCGCCGACGCCATGGAGGCGGACTGCCAGCGGCAGCTGCACGCCGGCCTGACCGAGAGCCAGCAGGTGGCCGAGATCGCCGAGTCGCTGGAGCAGCTGAGCCATGGCTCCTCTGAGGTGACCAGCAGCCAGCTGCAGATGTCGCCGCAGCAGCCCGACGAGCCGCCGCCGCCGCCGCCGCACAGCGCCGCCTTCGACTGGCAGACGGGCCGCGCGCGGCACCGCTCCGAGCGGCTGCCCGGCTACCCGGCGTCGGCCGACGGGCCGCTGCTCGCCGAGTACCCGGCGGCGTTCGAGGCCGCCGGCCTGGGCTCGCAGCACGCGTCGGCGTTCCGGCCGGCGGCGCGGCGCGGCCGCAGCCTCTCGGCCGAGCAGGCCTCCTACGAGGAGCTGATGGCGTTCAAGCCGGTGGCGACCGTGATGCCGGAGCCGCGCGACCAGCTGTGGCCGGCCGAGCTGCGTACCTACTCGGCGCAGGTGCACTGCCGGCGCCGGTCGGGCTCTGGCGCGCCGGCCGGCCCGCTGCTCCACCAGCCGCCGTTCAGCTACCAGCCGTGGTGGCCGCCCATGAGCGGCTGGGCGCCGCACGACGCCTGGCCCGGCCAGAAGGCGGACGGCTGGCAGCAGTCGGCGGCGGCGCACCCGAGGAGCGAGCCGAGCGTGCCGCTGCCGCGGCAGCTCTCCCAGCTGGATGGCGCAGACGACTCGGACGACGAGTCCGTGCCGAGCAAATGTCCCAAGTGCCGGCGGATGTACCGCACGCGCGAGAGCATGCTGAAGCACCAGGACCTGTGCGACTTCGAGGTGGACAGCTCTGGCAGCAGCGAGGCCGAGGAGGATGGCGCGGAGGCGGCCCGGCCGGAGCCGCGCCGTCCCGCCGTGGAGCCGGGCGAGGCGCCGCGCGCGCCGCCGCCAGCCGCCACCGGCGAGGCCGAGGTCTCCTCCACCACGGCGCCGCTGCCGTCCGAGACGCCCCGGCTGCAGATCAAACAGGAGGTCGAGGAGGCGCCGGCGGCCCCGGCGCGCGCCTCGCCCGCTCGCCCGCGCCGCCGCTCGCCCAAGAAGAAGGCGCCGCCGGTGTTCGGCGCGGCGGCGGGCCCGGCGGTGGCGGCGCCGCTGCCCCCGCCGCCGCCGCCGCCGCCGCCGGCCTCGATGGGGATGCCGCTGCCGCAGCTGCTGATGATCGGGAACCAGCTGGTGAGCCCGGGCCAGATGCTGCTGCCCCAGGTGCAGCAGCAGGGCGTGGTGATCGTACAGGGCAACGTGAGCTACACGGTGGTGCCGCAGCAGGAGCCGCTGCTGTACGGCCAGCCGGCGCCGTTCGTGCTCAACTACCCGCAGCTGGCGCTGCCGCCCGGCGCCAACCTGCAGCACCTGGGCTCGTTCGAGCTCGGGCCGGCCGGCGGACAGCTGGCGCAGCCGGTCGTCTACTCGATGGCCGGTCTGGGCGGCGGTCTGGTGGCCTCCCTGCCGGCGGTGTCGGTGGCTGGCGCCGGCGTGCAGCCGCACCTGCCGGCGCCGCTCGCCGGCGGCGCCATGGAGCTCCGGCCGCCGGCCCCGCCGCCGGCCGCCGCGCCCGAGCCCATGGAGGTGTCGCTCCCGCCGCCGCCGCCGCCGCCGCCGGCGCCGCCCGTCCAGCCCCCGCCGCCCCCGCCCGTGGTGTCGGCGCCGCCGCCGCCGCCACCGGGCCGCAGCTCGCCGGTGCAGTCGAGTCAGGTGGACAGCAGCCGGCCGCAGAGCGCCGATTCGCCGCCGGCAGCGTCGCCGGCTCCGTGCGAGTCTGCGACCTCGCCGCCGGCGGCGGCGGCGGCGCCCGGCCGGCACGTGCAGCTGGTGAAGCCGAGCACAGTGGTGGCGCCCGCGGCCTCGTCTGACGCCAGGAAGGTGGCCAAGGTGAGTGAACTATTGGCTGGTGCTGAAAATAGCCGGAAATACGCGTCCAGATCTACTGGGAGCGGCGGAGGCCCACTAAGACCCGGGACTCGAGTGTTTTTTAGTATTACGTATCAAACGAGTCCTTGCTCCGGGTCCGTCGTCGCACATATTGCGCTCGCAGACTCGTCCTGTTTGCCCGCGTATGGCTGCACAATAACATGTTTCTTTGAACGTAGTACGGAAACAATATTGCGACTATCAGATTTAGTTTGTGCTGCATGAGGGACGTCTGTGCCGATGTCTCAAGAAGCATGTGTATTGCTTTTTTATGAGGTGCTGTTCCGGCCCCGACTGGCAATGCAGTACTCGTATAAGTTACATTGTATTTGTATATGAAATATTTATTTACGCCGTAGGTCGTAACACAGACTGATCTTGGTCGCTCGGAAGGTCCTCACTCTCTGGTTACCGGCGTCCTGACCCCCCCCCCCCTCCCCCCGGCCGGCTAGGTGAAGCCGAGGCCCACCTACAGCTACCGGGACGCCATGAAGACCAACCCGATGCTGCGCCAGGAGAAGGGCAAGCTGATGCGCCGGCTGGTACCGCTCGAAGTGGACTCGAGCTCGGCGTCGGGCCGCGCGGCCGCGCCCGCCGCCGGCGCCTCGCCGCCGCCGCCGCCGTCAGCCCCGTCAGCGGCCGGCGGCGGCGGCGGCGGCGGCGCGGTGTCGCCGGCGCCGTCAGTGAGCAGCAGCGGCACGGCTCCGGAGGCCGGCGACGGGCCCAAGCTCTCCTACCGGATCAAACTGCGCCGCGACCGCGCCGACGACGGCTTCCAGGTACCTACGTCCGCCCGGTCGGGGCCGGCTGCTCGGGCGGGCTGCGACCACCAGTCGGGCAGGTCCTCCCCACACCGTCTTCAGACTCCGAATATGCCGTAGCTCCACGGCTTAATGGGCAGCACTGGCAATCTTCCACTCGAAACTCCCATAGGTGTTATTGGCCAGATACACTACTAGTGATCCGAACTGTTAACGACTTTCTATTTCATTGTATCAGAAGCTTCACTCAGTCGCATATTTCCTAATGGTAACGTACTTTTCCGACATGGCTCTGTAAGATTGTCATCGGGAAATATTCAATGAAACTAGTTTCACCGCCCGCTTTCCATCTTAATCCTCTGGAAGACTTCAGCGAAGTTGCAAACTTCTTCTGAAAGAGGCACGTAAAGGACTGGTTGGGTGTTATATAACGAACATGGTGTGTTCGGAAGTTTAAATTGGTCTGGAGCATCAATTTAAGTGTCAAAAAGATAATGCTTATCCATTAGCCAGCTTGTCACGAAAAGTTTCCCGGCGTCCCCCAGGACGTTGCCCGGCCCGGCCGCCCCACATTCCGTGTGTCGCGCCTCCCCCCGGCTGTGTCGGCAGTTCCACCCTCTGCTCCGTGTTGCCGCTTCGGGCATCTCCCTGCCGTACCGTCTTTGACCATGTCCCTCCTGTCCCGCGTCTGACTATGTCCCTCCCATGTCTGACCGCGTCCCTGCCGTCGCTGCAGGTGCGGGAGATTGTGCGGAACCCGTCCGGGGACTCAGTCAGCCCCGGCGCCACCGTCAAGTCTGTGAAGATCACGGCCCGCGTGGGCTCGCTGGGCAGCGACCTGCTGGTGGTGCCGCGCCGCCAGACCGCCGACGCCGAGGTGGGCCGCCGACCCGCCCCGGCTGTCCCCTATATGGCCCTCTGTAGCCCGTCTGACCCGTACGGACCCCGTCTGACCCGTACGGACCCCGTCTGTCCCGTACAAACCCGTCTGACCCGTCTGTCCCGTACGGACCCGTCTGATCCGTGCAGACCCCGTCTGTCCCGCACATACGCCCTCGGTCCCGTACAGATACCGTCTGACCCGTACAGACCCGTCTGTTCCGTATATAGCACGTCTGACCCGTACAGACCCGACCCAGTCTGACCGTACACGGTCCACCTAAACGGATCGAGCCGGAGCCCACAGCGCTAGCGGGATGGTGGATTTTCCTTCAACCCTTTCTCTTTCCAACGTTGTCGTGGTTTGCATTTTGCGCAACTTCCAGCGATATGGTTCGTTCCCCCCGGTCCCGTCCTATCGGTGAGTGTTGCCGGGTTTCGGGTGCCTGTGCGGCAGACGGGCCGGGCCAGTCGTGTCCGTCGGTACGGCTGTGGCGCTGTGTCCTGCCTGGGTTTGTTCCGGACCCAGAACAATTGTCTGCAATGTGGCGCGGCGGGCGCTCGTTCCGGGTCTGTGGGGCTCCTCTCCCCTCTCCAAACACTGCCTGTGGTGTCTCAGTCGGTTATCTGGCGACCGTTGTATAGCTGGAGTCGCCAGTAGCACTCTACTGTCGCAGCTGTGAAGGGGCGGCCGCTCTGCGTGGTAGTGAGCCGCCAGACATTTTTTTTCTGGTACTGGGTCGGTCTAAAATACCGTGTTAAGAATGCGTGTATATTATTCGGCGGATTCTTTTGTCAACCTACAGGGTGTTTCACTAAAAGTGTCGAAAAGTAAATGCTTATTAAAGATATATAAAATACGCAAAGCACGTGGTTGCGCACGTGGCTTTGTTGCAAATTTTTGGACATTTATGATTTGGCCACTTAAGATATATTTTACACTCATACGGAGCGAGGGCAGGAGGCCAAAGTTACTAGTCGTTTTTTTTTTCCTTATACAGAATAAGAACAGGTTATTTACACCGCAACAGGAGCGGTGGATTACACTTACATTTGGTGCTATCAGAAACATTGAAACCGTACGCCGACTTTTCAGGAAACGTTTCACTCTCTCACCTCGCTACGACCCAGATTATAAAAGTTTCAAAGGGTTTCTTGAGAGGTTTAAAAGGGTTCCTTTGATGCCGGTTCCAGTCCAAAAAAAGGCGGGTCGCCCCACCTCTCGGCGGAAATCGTTGAAAAGGTCAGGGTCTTTTTAAGGGCCTTTTAAGATAACAAGAAGCTTATTTCAACATCAGAAATAGCCAAGCCCCCAATTTATCAGAAACAACCACCGTAACGGCTGTAGCCACCAAGAACTGGCTGGACCCGAAGTTCCGTTCCCGGGCCGAATAATCAGCTGCCTCACCGCCCGCCCCTGGCCAGCGCGAGGCCCCGATCTGTCACCGCTAGCCTTCTGGTTTTGGTCAGTAGCTCTCGCAGAGCTGAGGAAGGCTTAAGTCGCATCACTTTTGGAGCTGAAGAGCACAATGCAAGGCTTTGCCGACAGTCTGGACGCTGAAGATGAAAACGGGCTGTGAGGCACCTCCGGACACGTGCCGAAACGGTGCATTAAAAGAAGCGGCGGATATGTGGAATAGGTTTGAGTGACGGTGATATCATTTTTATATATTCAAATGTCCAACAATTGCGGATGGAATGATGTGCAAATGTCCATAGAAAACATTGTTATTATGTGCATTAGGGCCTTTTACTTTTTGACACTTTTAGTGAAACACCCTGTATATTAGGGTGCATCAAACGCCCCACTTTTTCGAAAAATTTCTGCGAACCTCCTGTCACCGAAATTAATTTGTTACGTATCCTAAATGTATCCACCATGCCAAATTTCAAGAGTTTATGAAGCCATCTAGGGGGTCCGCATCGACCCTAAAGTTAACGAAACTTCATGAATTTTATCATTAATGGCGCTTAATTACAAGTTATTTAAAATTATCCTTAGGTCAAAACATCTTTAAGCATCGCTAATCATTGCAAGTGCTATCCTAAAACTGTCCACCAAATCAATCTGAAATGTATCTGACTTCACCTATAGGAGTCTTAACACTCGCCCGTATTGGTGTTTTGTGTGCGTCTAACGTACAGGGGAGGGGGTCCGTTGGACCCTCTTGCTGTTCGGTCTCTGATTAAGCTAGAGCTTCACGGAAAAAACTAGCGTGTTTCCCGTAACAAGAAGAAGCCGATGGTATCCATTTTTAAGGTCCTAGGTCATTGGTTGACCTTCCAGGTCAGGTCAATGACTAAAAATTCGGGAAAATCGGGACCAGGTAGAACTTCGTAAATTGAGTTTGTTGTAGTTTTTCGGGGTGCTGATTACGAATTTCAGATCAGTTTTGATCAAAGATGATGTCTCTATGCATTTAGACTAGGACGGGTCAGGTCAAGTCAGGTCAACCAGTGGGCGTCCTGCCAGCTATCCATAGTAGGTGGCAATCACCACCGACAGCTTCGAAACATGTTACGAAGGCAACAAAACTACTTCGTAGGTGTTCAATGCTCAAACGCTTCAATGTAGTCACGCGTACGAGATGAGTAGACAATGCTCCTATCATCAGACGCTATTGCAGTGTCAGAACGTCTGCTTTTTGAAAATCCTGCGCTCTCCCGTCTTTCTGGACCATGTGTCTGGTGCAGCAACTATGTAGCGCCGACCATTCAGCGTTGCATCCACTCGTCGACGCACGGGGAAGGGTCTTTCACAAGGAGATGAAACTCAGAAAGTAGCAACTGGCATGTCTCAGATATTCCATTCCGGTCACCTGAGGTTATGTCGTTCACGTGGTCGTGACCTTTTGTTTTGGGTCAGTGGGAGAAATATGAAAACCGAGTCAGAATGATCATCGCCAGTCACACCCCGGCAAGATCGCGCCCATACCCCGGCAACATTCAATAGCGCAAGTGGCGGCAACAAAACCAAGATATCAAGTTTGTACGTCGCTACTGAAACCGCAAGGTCGTTGACAACGTCGGATACACCTGTCTGCGAAGGATGATAGTCCAGACTTGCGACGCTCCACAGGGACTTGGTCCATCCTGAGGTCGACGAACAATTACCGACGGGAAGAGCGACTCACTCTAGTTGTCGTCGAAGACGTGCTCATCAAATTACATGAGAATTATTCACGGATTGCTAAAAAAAAATACTCACGAGTCACTCTAAACCAATAATATCGGTGTTAACATTTACCTCAACATGAGTTCGTCTAAAACCGGTTTTGTCAGGGCTGCATGCGTGACAAAGTAACTCCATTTGGTTTTGACGCTGCCGTGGTCGACTAGGAATTTCGGGCTTCATATCGGCGAGCTCATGATGGTGTACGTCTTCTGCGAGCCCAGAGTCGAGTCATGTCGTTGAATCACAAAACCAAATAATATGCAAGAACCGCTCTAAACCCAAGGAATTCAGTTAATCATTGGAGCTTAACGAAGCGATTTGTCCCAGTCTTCCCTCCCAGCAAAAGTCCTACTTCCTAAATATAGGTAATGTGTATCAGCGGGCTAAGCTGAAACTATCTTTAGTTATTATTTTCGTGCTTAATTTGGGCTTATTGAGGAAAACTCGCGATGATCTCAAATACTTCTCTTAGTGATGTTAAAGGACATCATATAAGGTCCAAGTTGAATACAGACCAGGCATCAGTCCACGAAAACGGGGCACAAAAATACATTTCAATTCCTGAAACAAATTTGCATCATATTTGGCGCTAACTGCGCAGTTTCTGTATCATTACCTATGGGGCATAACGGAGGGGTCACGTCGTGACTGACCTGACCTCAGGCGACCTTTACGGAAAAGAAAATCAGAGGAAAAAAGCTGTAAAAAATTTGAAAGCTTGTGATTTCCTAAGTTTCGTCTCCCTGCGAAAGATTCCCCGACTCTGAGAGCGCTGCGAATCTATACAGCATTTTTAGACCACCGAGAGGTTCGCGTATGACGTCATAGGTCACTGGCCTGACCTGATATCAAAATGCAGCAAATGCCAAATGTTCAGGCTTAAGTATCAAAGGCCAGCTAAGCCAAATTAAAGTTCCCTAACCGGACGTGTTTCGACCCATCGCGACAAAAACAGCAGTGGTCGCACCAACCCCCTCCATCGGGGAAGGTTAAGTGATGAAGCATGTTCATAGCTGATGCGGACCCCCTAGATGGTATCCGATATAATTTTGATTTTGCACAGCGTCATTGTGCCACTAGTGGAACAAACTAAATCAACAGACAGATCGATTTGAAGACATCGGGGCGTTTGATGCACCCTACTGTATATGCTTAAATGAAATGTGATTAGCCGATATTCCAATGTTTGGTGTTGCATCTGGCTGCTATTTAATCTGGCCTGTTGCGAAATCCCGGCTGGATTTTATTGCGGGAGACTATTTCTGGAAATGGAATCCCAGCACGCAGGGCCGTCCGTCGCCCTTCTCGGGCTGTCTGGCCCTGTTGGCCCGCGCAGTGGGGTGCCGGCCCGCGGCCCCTGTCTGCGGTCTGTCTCTGATCTCTGTCTCTGTCTCTGATCTCTGTCTCTGTATCTGCTCTCTGGTCACGACCTCTGGTCTCTGTCTCTGTATCTGCTCTTTGGTCACGGTCTCTGGTCTCTGTCTGTCTCTGCTCTCTGGTCACGACCTCTGGTCTCTGTCTCTGCCACTGTCGGCCCCCCACTGCGCCCGCTAATAGCGGCATCAGTGGGCGTGAATGACTGTCCCGGCGCGAGTGGCGTCCGGCCGCCGACGGCCGCCGCCACTGGAACCCGGGCCCCGTCTGGCGAGCGACACACGCCACTACATAAAGAGGCGGATATGTGCTCAGAGGCCACATTGAGGTGGCGGCATTGGGTTGTCGGCGCTCGGCCCCGACCCCCCATGAACGGGCGGCTCTATTCATGACGTGGAGGAACCAAATGGGAACGGTTGGCTGGCCAGCCGAGGCCATTCATTCCGAGACTGAATGGACTGAGCCGAACCGGGTCGCCGGCCGGATTTACTAGTTGGGTGCAACACGGAGCCAGGCATTTATTCATACACAATGAAAGTGTGTGAGTTGGATTTGAATTACGAACATCTCGTTATTCGGCCGCCTATGCGTATGTTGGAAGTCGCTTCCATTGGAGAGGTCGGCTGCACTTTGCGCTCCTGAGGCTTTTAGTGAGAGCGTTCCGGCGCGGTGCTCCCACCAATGGACGTTCGCTCATTCTGTATTGTGACTCTGTATTTGAATTGGTTTTGGATTATCGTTTTGCTGGTAGCGGCTCGTTGTGCCGATCGTTCGGCCGTCCGTCCGGGCCCATTTGCCGCGGGTCGCTGTCTCGGGCGTACTTTGGCCGGTAATTGGGCGGGCTGCTGCCGCGCTGGCCGTCCTCTCGCCCAGGGGGTGATGCGGCAGACGGTGTCGCGCGCCGCCGACCCGCCGCGGTCAGCCAGATCAATAGACACCTCCCGGGCCGGTGGTGTTATTACCCGCCAGGTTATTGTTCGTATGCGCCCAGTATTGACGTGTTAGAGGCGGGCTTCGCTCGGCGCGGCGGCGATACTGGCCGGCGCGACCCGCCGCCGGATCTGAGGGCGACCGTACGAGACGGCCGGTCAGAGCTGCTCCCGGAACCCGACTCTGTGGCCTCCCAACCAGAGTCCGGGCGCCATGGTAATCTGACGAGCCGGGCGGACAAAGCTGTCCAAATTAGAGAGAGCTGGACGGTGTTAAACAGATGAGAGGGTGTTGGCGGGCGGACACGCGTGTCTGAGTTGGAGGCGTCCTTTCATCTCGCGGCTGAATGTCGACCGGCCTCCGTGCCCAGAGAGGTGCCGGCGGACTCTGAAAGGTCACTGGTGCCGCCGCGCTGGAACTGAAGGCGGCATAATATGCGGTTACCGGATCAGCGGCCGGCCGCGCCGGCTCCAAACATCAGTCGGGGCGCAGACTTGGAGTCAGCCCGCTCCAACGGCCTCCGGTCGTTAATTGTCGCGGCTTATGGTGGGCGCTGACCGCGGATGGGGCGGCACACGGCGGCGCCTGTACGGAGCCACACGGGCCGAGTAAACCAGCCGGTAATTGATGAGAGGACCGCGCAATACCCAGGAGGACCGAGTGTTTATCTGCGCGACTCTGAGCTGTTTGTTCAAGTTGTGTCGGTGAGGCTGAGGTATCGGGGTCACCTGACGCCCGGTGCCAGCTGCTCCCCTCCCTCCGTTCGTGGTGTCTCACCACGCTCCTCACTTTTCGTTACTGACTGGACTCTCCACCCCCTGCTCCCGGTTCCCTCCCCCCCTGGGTGCGGCACTGATCGCTCTGTGACTGTGACAGGTGGACTGGGACCGCTCCGCTGCTGACCGGCCCCGGGAGGAGTCTGTCCTCCCCCCCCCCCCCCCTGAGTCCTGAGTGCGGTACTGACCGCTCTGTGACTGACAGGTGGAGGTGCGCGGGGACCCGGCCCCTGGAGGAGTCTGTCCCCCCCCCCCTTCCGTCCGCTCCCTGGGGGCGGTACTGACCGCTCTGTGACTGACAGGTGGAGGTGCGCGGGGACCGCTCCGCCGATCGCCCAGGCGAGGAGGAGGCCGACAAAGAGAACCGCGGCGAGCGCGGCGCTGCGGAGACCGACCCGGCCGACCCGGCCGTCGTCTACGAGGTTACCTCCGCCGACGGCTTCAAGTTTCGCTCGCCGGACATTGCCGAGGTGCGGCACGCCGGCACCGGTGGTCGGGCGGCTGGGGAGCCCGCGGGGAACTGTGTACGAGCGGGCAGGGACAGGAGGGGTGTCTGGGGGGCCGCGGGGACTGGTGTACGGGCGGGCAGGCGCGCGCGGGCGGGGTGATTGGGGGCGACAGTGTCGAGTGAGATGACCGATTGGCAGGACGGACGAAGTGATGGGTGTGATGGCTCCCACTGAAAACGACACCCGTCTATGTGTCCGTCCCCGTAGGACTTGACTGGAGCCGCTGAAATACGCGGCACTGGCCCGTGGAACGGGTGTGACCCGCTGTCGCTGACCGCTTTGACCCCGACTGGGACAGGTATGGCGGCGCGTGTTCGAGGCCGTCCAGGACGCGCGCACCGGCATGAAGATGAAGCCGCTGGCTTACAACGCCCGCTCCGTGTCGGGCCGCCAGATGCTGGGTCTGACGCACGACGCCGTCCAGTTTCTGCTGGAACAGATGCCTGGGGCAGAGGACTGCTCCAAGCACAGCTTCAGGTGAGGTCCGAGAGCTGGACTCCAAACACGGGCTCGGCTGAGCCGCCCGGTACGGCCGGCCCCAGACAGTCTCGTCGACAAGTCCCACTGTCGGTTTAGACGTGTTTGTCCCAAACGCGTCGGCTGCGTCTTGTTTGTCCCGGAAGCGCAGGTCCAGTGTTTCCGACCTCCCCGCCATTCAGTAGAGCGTCAGAGCAATCAGAGATAAGTCAGGCGCCAGGATAAGTGCAATATTGTAGCTTTGTTGACAAAATAGCTTACCATAAGCACATTCGTCGTCGGCTTTGTCTCTGGTCCGTCAAAAGCGCGTTATTAAGGCTGAGCCCGGTCTGCACTCGCTCGGCCAGCGACCTTTATTGCGTTCTGCTTACCGTTATGCGTTATTTATTAAAGACACATTGAAGGCGCTATGTATTATTGCGTTATCTTTTAAAGGCACTGCTCCATAGTGAAAAAAATGCCTTGTCGACATAATCTGCTTGCCCAAATGCCCAATCCACTTCATAGCTTAAGACTTACGAAGCTTCAGCGATGTGCATATCGATGTGTGTATCGATTAGTTAACTAAAAGCTGGAGCTAGGATGTTGTTCTTCGTAGACGGGGCATTCCACGTCAAATCGAACAAAAATCGGCCGTTTTGCACCTTACCATCAGCGATTTCATTATAAATTTGTGAGCGAGTTCCTGTGTCGCCCCGAACATTACATTGATGTTTTTTGCACATTCTGATCACAGGTCTTCTAAATATAGGGCATCAAATTTTTACAAAATGTTGCATCTTTATATTTTTGAACGACCATAACTTTGGTTGTACTTGTTTGATTTGAATGAAATAAACCTTACTGTTTAGGTAATTTCTTAAGCATTTGTTTAGAATTGCACCTACTTAAATATATGACCTTGAAATTTGCTTAACTCTGTTCTTAAGCACAAAAATTGAAATAGCAAAAAACACGTCACCTTCGATTTGGCTAATTTTCATATATTTTATTGCCTACCATATTCTTAACAACCTGTGAAAAAATTAGAGTGGGCCATTCATAAGTTTTGAAGAAAATGGCACATATGCAAACGTATGTTAGCACGCGCAGTGGAGGGGGAAGAGTGAATTTCGCCCCACCCCTCCTGTTTTTCGCCAATATCTCATGGTATTAAAGCGAAATTAATTATAGGTGCCTGTCCAAAATTGAATTGCACATCTCATCGTGCCAGCAAGAAGAAAATCGGTTCACAACTGGTCTAGTAATAGCGGTGTAAAGTGAACATGTCCTGTCGCCGCGGCGACGCGGCGACTCGGCAGCCGGCGCCGACCGCTAGCCGCCGCCTGAATTGTAGACTGTGCCGGGACGGCACGGAACGGTTCCGTCTTTACATCGCGCTCCTTACCGCTGATTACGTTCGATTCGCGTCAAATTTTGTGAGAAGACTAAGAAATGTACAGGCAATCTTATGGTGTAAGAATTTTGAAAATCGGTTGGTAAACAATTGAAATATGAACGTGTAAACACAAAATTGTGATTGCTGCGTTTCCCGCGTCGGCCGATCCCGCCTCAGCCGGCGACATGTTACTCTTAGCAGGTCTCTAACTGCCATATTTATTATTGGATTAACTAGAAATTCCCCATACATACTCAAAAATGTATATTCTTTCGTATAGTGAAGATAAAAAGACGTGAAGATATCGTTGCGTGATAATGTTTTCATTGAATTTTTGGCTTCATGATGCATTTCCACACGGCTCAAAATTCACCGCAAAATACCGTTTGCCTGAGACACTTTTACTATGGAACTTGAATGCTTGACTACGATGACTATCTAACTTACTATTTGAGGAGGGTGCGTCTGTCCGTTACCGAGGTCCCGACTTGGTGGTGCTTTGCGTGGACTACAGGCCAGACCGTTGCACCTAGCCCGGTGAAATTTGCACAACTTATAGATCAAGGATGCGCGACGTGCCTTTGAGGGGTCTCAGCTCGATCAGATTGATAGGGAGCGCGTGGTGCGTGCTCAAAAAGTGCAAATTCGCGTCATAGATTTTACATGTATAAATCGGCGTGCGAAATCGGGCGAAAACGGCTAATTTTGGCCGACACGGGTCCAGTTCCCGTGCAATATCTTGGTGACCAGGGGTCCGACCGGCACGGGGAAAACAGCATCGTGTACAGAATTGAACGGGCTATTGAATGGTGTGCAATGCAGAGGATAGCACGCGCCACGTGCACCGGAGAGGGCATTTTATTTGAAAAATTGCGGTTTTTGAGGGATTTTGGAATTAATTTTATTTTTAGGTGACCGTTAAATGGAGCGAGTTGAATGAACGCCTATTTGCAAGAGAAAGGTACCGCCTCTCATATAAAAATTGTGAAAAGCTGATTGATCCAAATCAAGGTGGTGCAAATCACAGGAGAAAATGGTGTTTGTCAATTTTGTGCCACTTTATTAATCACACGGGGTTTGCTGCATAACCTGATACCTTTGGCAATTGAATATGGTATCATTGGATAGAGCATTCAATTCTGTCCAATATTCACTCTTCATTTTTGCATGATTAGCAACAGTATCCTTAAAAATGTAAATGTTCCAAATCATTACATTGTCATTTTTAGCGAAATTCATCGATGGCCCTCAAAAGGCTTCACGCCGGTTTTCGAATCATTCTAAGTAGAACGCATGATAATACGACACGGGCACCTCGATGCGATGCATCTTTTTTTAGAAAATGCTTGGCCGTCGAAAAGCAATCGAACGAAATGGATACCAGCCAAATCGACACAGACCAACCCAATACCCACGGGTCTAAAATAACCCTTCTTCGCGTTGCGGAGCACGCGGGTAACCCTAGTCTATATTACTATTTGAGGAGGGTGCGTCTGTCCGTTACCGAGGTCCCGACTTGGTCGTGCTTTGCGTGGACTACAGGCCAGACCGTTGCACCTAGCCCGGTGAAATTTGCACAACTTATAGATCAAGGATGCGCAACGTGCCTTTGAGGGGTCTCAGCTCGATCGGATTGATAGGGAGCGCGTGGCGTGTGCTCAAAAAGTGCAAATTCGCGTCATAGACTTTACATGTATAAATCGGCGTGCGAAATCGGGCGAAAACGGCTAATTTTGGCCGACACGGGTCCAGTTCCCGTGCAATATCTTGGTGACCAGGGGTCCGACCGGCACGGGGAAAACAGCATCGTGTACAGAATTGAACGGGCTATTGAATGGTGTGCAATGCAGAGGATAGCACGCGCCACGTGCACCGGAGAGGGCACTTTTATTTGAAAAATTGCGGTTTTTGAGGGATTTTGGAATTAATTTTATTTTTGGTGACCGTTAAATGGAGCGAGTTGAATCAACGCCTATTTGCAAGAGAAAGGTACCGCCTCTCATATAAAAATTGTGAAAAGCTGATTGATCCAAATCAAGGTGGTGCAAATCACAGGAGAAAATGGTGTTTGTCAATTTTGTGCCACTTTATTAATCACACGGGGTTTGCTGCATAACCTGATACCTTTGGCAATTGAATATGGTACCATTGGATAGAGCATTCAATTCTGTCCAATATTCACTCTTCATTTTCGCATGATTAGCAACAGTATCCTTAAAAATGTAAATGTTCCAAACCATTACATTGTCATTTTTAGCGAAATTCATCGATGGCCCTCAAAAGACTTCACGCCAGTTTTCGAATCATTCTAAAGTAGAACGCATGATAATACGACACGGGCACCTCGATGCGATGTATCTTTTTGTTTTCTTACAAAATGCTTGGCCGTCAAAAAGCAATCGAACGAAATGGATATCTACCAACCAAATCGACACAGACCAACCCAATACCCACGGGTCAAAAAATCCCCCCTTGGCGTTGCGGAGCACGCGGGTAACCCTAGTGTATTTCCATTCTCGCAGAGTTTGGGATATCACTAATCAGCAATCATTCATTTCAGAAAGTGAACACAAGCAAGCATGTCCTGACTCTGTCTTTCAAGGTCACGCGCGGTTGCGTGATGTTGATGCATGAAAACGGCGTTTGCCGCGAGAGTTATGAATGGCCCACTCCAATTTTTTCACAGATGGTTAGGAACATTGTGACGGACATAATACGTAAAAATTACCCGAATCGAAGGTGACGTGTTTTTTGCTATTTAAATTTTTCTGTTTTAATTCGAGGTCAAATGCATTTCAAGGTCACTTCAATTTAATTTTATAATTAAAAATCAAAGCCTTATCAATTGCCTACAAGACCCTGTTAATATCATTTTGATACCAGAAAAGGAACCAGAGTTATAGACATGAAAAAAATTGATGTACGGCACTTTTGGCTATATTCGATGACCTATATCTCAACGATACTTTATCAAATTTCGAAAATATTATACGCAACACAGTTTTGAACCATGCCCAGTCTGCCTACAAATTTTCAGAAAAATCGAAGGGGATGACGGATTTCGGTGTTTGATTTGACGTGGAATGCCCGAGACCGTAAACATTTGGAATGGCTGCTTAGGTATACCATCATCGCCTTTCATTATCCTGGAAACTTATATATCACCACTGCCTGTCGCATGTAATGCTTATCCAAAGATCTTAGCACCCGGACACTGTGTTCCAGCCTTGACGTTTTGTGCTTGACGGGCCTTTTAACTGGTGAGCGCAGTCTGGGAACAGTTGACCGACCGTCTGTGACCTGGACTCCCGACGGAGCTATCTATCTAGAACAACCGCTAACGCCAACCCGCCTGGACCTGTTCTGGAGAAATAACAGCGCCCTGTAACGCGCGCACTTGTCTTTTCCTACTTAAATTGGAGGGAAGGGACATAACTCAAATAACTTACTGGAGTTAAATCTCACAAAAGTAGCTGGCCGTAGCTAGCCTCTTCATTCTGAAATTCCTCCATTAATAAAGGGTTTCGTGCCCGTTGTTAAGCTCCGTCCTGCCTTTTATTGGACGCCGAAGACCGTACGTTTATTAGCTTAGCGCCAGTGTCTATTGCACGGCGTTCTGGATACGCTGACGGGACGTCCTTATTCGGCGGCTCGCGGGCGCCAGTTCCGGTCGGCTCTGGCTCGGCCGGCGGCGGCGCGTGGGTCCCATTGAGCCGTCATCAGCCGTCGCCGGGCCGTCTATACCGGCGTCGTGTCCAGGTTCCGGTCCATCGGCGGACTGCGACTGCTGGCGGCCGGCCTGTGAAGTCGGAGTGGCAGACGCGGAGCGCTGCCGCCCGAGGAGCCGCGCCGCGGAACTCACTGCTCAGCAATGCCAATACGTACCAATTGGATGGCAGAAAAACGACTCAGCTGAACAGTGGATAGCGTTGGTACCGATAGACCAGACGCTTTGACTTAACGTGGCTCGAGAGGTTCGATTTTCCGGCTGTCTAAGCTCACCGGGACTGGGTCGGGGCCGACCGATGTGCCACTGGTTCCGATCTGTCTGCCCCCCCCCCAGCGATGGCCAGGGGGGGGGGGTCGGGTATGTCCCCGGTTCCGGTGCGGCCCCCGTCCACCGGCCGGGCGCGGGTCTGGTCCGTTTCAAGTTATCCAATAATGGCCGGCGGCCCGTCGCGTCGGCCGGTGCGTGTCCTCTCTCGCAGACCGGCGGCGATCGATGGCGGACGATTCCTGGTGGGACGGATGGGACGGATGGGACGGATGGGACGGCCCGCAGGGCGGATAGGTCCCGTCCGTCCGGAGGACGAATGGTTCGGCCCCATGGAACTGATGAAACCACCCGAAGGGACTAATAGGACGGTCCGGAGGGACGGAAAGGACGGTCCGGACTCTGAGGGACGGATAGGACTTCTCAGAGGGTGGATAGGACGGTCCGTAGGACGGATAGGATGGTCTGTAGGGCGGATAGGATGGTCCGGAGGGCGGATAGGATGGTCCGGAGGGCGAATAGGATGGTCCGGAGGTCGGATAGGATGGTCCGGAGGGCGAATAGGATGGTCCGGAGGTCGGATAGGAAGGTCTGTAGGACGGATAGGACGGTCTGTAGGACGGATAGGATGTTCCGGAGGGCGGATAGGATGGTCCGGAGGGACGGATAAGACGGACGGAAATGAGCCGACATTTGCCAAGTCTTACATATGCAAATTTGCAATGCAATGTGCGCATTTGCAATTCAGTGTCAACGTCCGACATTTGCCGTGTGTGGCCCGGGCAGACGACGTGATGACTGTTGATGTGATGGGGGTACACATGTGGGAGCTTGTGTCGTTGTAATGCGAGATCTGCCCTGAATTTGAGGACCAAGGATGAATTATAATGGAATTGTTCATTGTAGTTCAAAATTGTGATTGTACTTTTGATGGTTCGTAATGGCTGCGCGTCTGAAGACATCGAAGTTATGCCGAATGAAGTCGATGCGCGGAACTGCCCCCGGTATGGGCTGACCTGGCGACCTTTCCGCAGGAAACCCGGGACTAACATTTTCTCATTGTGCGCCGTAGCGGTTTGGATAAATGTGTTCGGAGCGTCGCAGCTGCGCGTCCGTGTTTTTCTGCTGGTGGCAGAGAGCCCCAAGAGGGCCATTGGAGCGCCCTCGCGGCTGCCGGGGGCTAATAGTTGTGAAGCTGTCTTTCCGACCGACTGCCACCGTTTGATGTGGAGTCATTGATTCTGGCGGCGCGGGCTGCGGACGGAGTCGGCGAGGGCCGCGGACGGGCCGGCCGGGTCCCGTCGCCGGCCGTCGCAGTACCCGTCCCGTCAGCTCCGCGTGTCGGTCCGCCCGACGGTAATGGCACGCGCCGTGGCAGCCAAATGGTGGCCCATTACAGACGAAATGACCGGGTCTTATAGTATCGACATCCTTTTTAACGTCACATGTCGTACGCGACGTTGATTATAAGCCTAGGGCACTATATGACTGTCCGCGGGGCAACATTCCCCCGCGGGACGACTTCTTCAGACCAGTACAGCCCAGTCTGACCTGATCGAATTTAGCCTCAAAACGTTGTGAATAAGTCATACATACTATAAGTCATCACCTTACAATATAACTATGAATAAGTTATATTGTAAGGTGAAGTGCATGTTGAATAAGCTGCAGTCGTTTACAACCCGCAGGTTTCATTTGCCAGGGGAATGCAGCGGATGAGGATCTATTCCCCATAATTGTCTGCATTGAGCAATTACCCAGTTAGCTCGCCTCTTTGCCTCTTCTAAACTAAAAGGCGAGCGACGATCAGGCATTGTAGTATTCGAGTTGGTTTATGTCTGCTACATTACCAATAGGGTCACCTTTATGATAAACGTTTTCACAATTCCTAACTTAACAAAGTCAGCAGCCTCTCCGTCACTATTGAGTGGAGTTGCCTAAATTGTGTTTGACATTATGCAAGATAGTTCCGGCGCGTGAAAAGAAGTTTACAGAAGTGGAAACTATCCAGACTGAAGCGCGACTTCCCGGCTCGGCTGCTGTGGGTGACGGCTCGGTGACTGCCCCGGCTAATTCAACAGACCCGAGTTAGAGCCCACCCCGTCCCATTGTGCCGGCAGGTTCCACAGGCCCGAGTTCGGCCCGCTGAAGGAGAACCCGTTCGGCTGCGCGCGCGCCGAGGGCTTCACGCACAGGAAGCCGATCGACATGTTCTCGTGGCTGGCGTCCAAGCACCGGCAGCTGCCGGAGCCGAGCTCGCCCACCCAGACGCCGCCGGCCAACAAGCTGTCCAGGTGGGTGTCCGGCCGTCTCCACCCAGCCTGGCTCCCGCCCTGTGTTTGTGTGCTGGTGTCCCACTCTGACCTGCTGAACCGCTGTGTCGCCGTGACATGACCCGGCCGTGACCCGCCCTGACCTGACCCGTGTCCCGCTCTGACCTGTGTCGGGCCGCTGTGCGCCGCAGGCGGGGCAGCAGTCTGGAGCTGCCGATGGCCATGCGCTACCGTCAGCTGTGCGACTCCACGCGCGACACGGTGGGCGTCTACCGGTCGCCCATCTCGGGCCGCGGCCTCTTCTGCAAGCGCACCGTCGAGGCCGGCCAGATGGTCATCGAGTACGCCGGACAGGTACGCGCGGCGCACCACAGGGCAGCGGTGTCCTTCTGTGTGAGTCTGTCTGTCTGTAGGTCTGTCTCCTCCCCCCCCGCAGCCAGTGTGACCCAGTGTGCCGTGCGGTATCTGCCGGCCGGCGGCGGTAACGTGTTTGTCGCCGCCCCGGCCCGCCCCGAGGCCGTGCCGAGCGCCCTCGGCCTCTTCCCTCGTCGACATACGGAGCGCGGCTCAGAGGCGGCGCGTGCCGGCCGTCTGGGGCGGAGCCGGCCAGTAGTACACGGCCGGCGGCGGGCCCGGGGGACGCGAGTGTGCCGAGCGCGGCTAATGGGGGCCGGGCGAGAGCTGAGAGAGAGAGAGAGGAGAGCGGCGCCCGGATATCAACAGCAGTACTGTAATACGGTTACCCTGTCAATTTGGGAACGGCTCGCTTAATGTCCTGACAAATCGAGTTGCTGGCGGTGTGATTTGATCAGCGCTCGGCGCCGCGCCGGAGCCCAGCAACCGGTGGTGCCGCCGATAGCCGGGGGGGGGGGGGGGGGATCCGGGCTCCAGGTGCCGTTCGCAGAGTGGTAGGCGGCCCAGGTGTTTGTACGGGGCGGTCCTGATGTAGGTAATGCACGGGATAGGTCGATCCGTCAGAATGGTACGCACGGGACGAGGTGGGACGAGGCGTTCCGCACGGGAGGGGGGGGGGGAGTGCTGCTGCTGTGGCTGTGACTGTGGGTGTTTTGTGGGTGTTATTTGGGTGTCTAGTGGGTGTGCCGTGGGTGCGGAGCTCACGCATCTGTATGTGTGGTTCGTCAGTCACCTGCCGCGGCTAAATGCCAGCTGCCGTCTGTGACGGACGGAACGCCGTGGGCGGTATTATCCCTCGGAATGAACGCTGATACGGCGCATATGTCCAGCGGGAGCTGACAGTATTCCCTGAAGACGCTTTTATTGATGATGATCTGAACTTCTGCATGTTGTTGTTAGTGGTATCTGAACTATTTGTTATGTAATGATGCATTATGTCGTGTATAAATCGTGTGCGTGCTGTCATTTGTAATGTCGTCATTTTTAACCGAGTGGGCATTTAACGACGGATCGCGCACCAAGTATCCAACCATTAGTCTCTTCTTGTCTGAGCCATTACCGTTGTGATCCTCCAGTTACGGTATTCAGGCTTTTTGCCGTTACAATTCGCGGAGTTCTAATCTCATCGGTCCCGGCTGGCGTCGCTCTGACAACTGCAGTGTGATGTTCGGACGCCGGCGCGGCCCGCAGCGCTACATTATGTAATATGCACGCTGGCGGCTGGGGGGGGGGGGGGGGGCGTGAGGCCGGGCCGTGGCGGGGGCCCCGTCACTAACGGCGTATCTCCCCACCGTCCGGCGCTGGGACTCATCGCGCTCATTTGATGGAACTAATTTTAACAGATTGCGTGTCCGGCTGGTACACTCGGGGGCAGATTGATGTTCTACAACTCTTTATCCACCGGGTTCCTATGGCTCAGCACTGGCAGCAGCCGCCTGGTACCGGTAGACTGTGCCGCTTCACTTACTTGTCAAGCGGCACAGCCTACCCACACCGTATGCCACCGGTCTGGGTCGGTGGCTGGAAGGCGATGTGGGCCGCCTGTGACGTCAGCGCAGCGGTGAGGGCCGAGCCCGGAGGCATGGCTCGGGTCGGTGCGGCGCGGCGGCTGGCGAGGGCTGGGGAGTGAGGTGGGGTGGGAGCACGGACCATCGCGCGGCTGAGTGAGTGCTAGTTAACTTTCGCGTCTCAAGGCGCCAATTATTCTACTTAACAATTGTGCTAAAGCAGTTGTTAAAATGTCCTATCCCCAAGACAGCGCCTACCATCATACTTGCCATGCACATTACGACACACATGGCATTGGGACAGCCGATAGAATTTATATCACACGTGCATCGAGTTGCGGAGCAACATTGTTTTTAACAGATAAGTATTAAGGCCTTGATTGAGCTCATTGGTGTCTATTATTTCGCACAGCAATCGTCCAGAGACGTGGGAACTGGGGTTTTTGGATAGCGCGGCGTCCCAACTTTAAGCAACTCTTACTGTTCCTCTAATGTGTGGTCGCAGCCACCAATAGCAAACCGTTCCATCTAGGAACAAATAAGTCGCGCACCTGGAACGGTTCGAACCGGGTTTCTCCAACCGGTCACCCTACGACGCTAGCGAGTATCCACTGAGCTGCCGAAACCAGCGACCACCCGCCGCGGTCAAACGCGATCAAATGTCACAATACTGTCATTGGCGGTCAGCGGGTGAATGTCATTTTGTTTTGTGCAGACGAGGGCCGTTCTCGGTAGCTCAGTGGATGGACGGTGTTGTCGTAAATTGGCCGGTGGGAGAAGCCCGGTTCGAGCCCCCCTGAGTGGCCGACTTTTTGGCTCCTAGTTGGAACGGTTTGCTATTGGGGGCTGCGACCACATATTAGAGCAACAGTATGTAATAATCGCTTTAAATTGGGGCGTTGGCTGCGGCACTACTCATAACCCCCAGTTCCCACGTCTCTGGACGATTGCCGTGCGAAACAATAGACACCAATCTGCACAATCAAGGCCTTAATACTAATATGTTATACAAAATATAGCTCCGCACCTCGATGCACGAGTGACATAAGTTCTATCGGCTGTTCCATTGCGGCGTAATGTGCATTGCAAGTATGATGATAGGCGCTGTCTTGGGGATAGGACATTTTAACAACTGCTTTAGCACAATTGTTAGGTAGAATAATTGGCGCCTTGAGACGCGAAAGTTAACTACACTCGCTCAGCCGTGCGATGTCCGTGCTCCCGCCCCACCTCACTCCCCAGCCCTCGCCAGCCGCCGCGCCGCGCCGACCCGAGCCATGCCTCCGGGCTCGGCCCTCACCGCTGCGCTGACGTCACAGGCGGCCCACATCACCTTCCAGCCACCGACCCAGACCGGTGTCATACGGGTGGGTAGGCTGTGCCGCTCGACAAGTAAGTGAAGCGGCACAGTCTACCGGTACCAGGCGGCTGCTGCCAATGCTGAGCCATAGGAGCCCGGTGGATAAAGAGTTGTAGAACATCAATCTGCCCCCGAGTGTACCGGCCACTGCACGGCCGCCAGACGTGATCTGTGCGGGACCGCGGCCGCCGCGCTGCCTGGGACGCATAGGCGGCGGAACGGGGGGGGGGGGGGGGCACCGGGGCACCGTGCCCCCTTGAATTCTGCAAGGGGGCACCAATAGCAAGGTGCCCCCCTTAAATTTGATGTATTAGTACCAGGGGCGGATTCGGGAAAACTTTAAGGGGAGGGTCATGAATCGAAGTGGTGCCCCTACCTATACCCAAAATTAAAACCTCAACGGATTTCGGCCACTTAATTTTGGTGGTGCCCTATTTTCAGTTGTTTTATTTTATTTATTTTTGGTTAGTCATGTGATGACTAGAGCCCCTGCTAGGCCGCTGGTGCCCCTGGAAAGACTGGTACCAACCTACCCTGCCCCCTGACAAGCCTACGGTGGGCCCTGACATGACTTAGGTGCCCATGAGCCCTGACAAGCCCGTGGTGCCCCTGACAGGCCTGTGGTGTCCTTGCTAGGCCTGTGGTGTCCCTGGGCCTTGGTAGGTCTGTGGTGCCCCTGGCGAGCCTGAGCTGTGGTGCCCCTGTTAGAACGCAGGTGCCCTTGACAGGTTTGTGGTGCCCCTGACAATCCTAAAGTGCCAACGACAGGCTTATGGTGCCCTTGACAGGCCCATATGGTGCCCTTGCGAGGCCGGTGGTTCCCCTGCGAAGCCGATAGTGCCCCTGGCAGGCCTCTAGTGCCCCTGGCAGGTCTGTAGTGCCCCTGGAAGACCTGTAGTGCTTTTGCTAGGCCGATGGTGCTCCTGACAGGCCTGTGGTGCCACTGACAGGCCCGTGGTGCCCCTGCTAGGCCTGTGGTGCCCCTGTCGGCTGTCAGGCCTGTGGTGCTCCTGGCAGGCATGTGGTGACCCCAGGCCCTAAGTCATGACCCATGTGACCTCCCCCCTGGGATTCGCCACTGATTAGTACTGCGATGGCTTCTTGGGAAGTTGATACATGTAGGATAAATGGAATGACAATAAGGAAGAGACAAACACATAGGTACTTGAGGATCAGCTTAAAGTTAACCACACATACGGGGGTGAACTGCCATTTTCGTTTAGTAAAAAAAAAAAAAAAATCATCGTGCCAGGACTGTGACGAAAAATAAGTGGCCTAAATCCGATGAGAAAACAGGATTTGGGGGTACCCTAGGTTTGGCTCCTTGAGCTGGTGCCCCCCCCCCCCCTTGTCTCAAATCGTTCCGCCGCCTATGCTGGGACGGCGACCTCACGTGACCGCCGTCCTGCCCCGACTGTGACCTCACGTGACCGGCCGGCCCGCAGGTGATTCGCTCGAGTCTGACCGACATCCGCGAGCGGTACTACTCGTCGCGCGGCATCGGCTGCTACATGTTCAGGATCGACGACGACTTCGTGGTGGACGCCACCATGAAGGGCAACGCGGCGCGCTTCATCAACCACTCGTGCAACGTGAGTGCCGTCCCGGCAGACCGGCGGACCCGGCCGGGAAACGCGCAGAGTCCGCGCAGTTGGGGATGCTCCACACTTCTAATGAGCCATCATACTTTCCAATCCCACATCATGAGAGTTCCTCTCCAAAGAATTCCTCTAGATCCGGATCCGCTCCGCGCTGTCCCATCGGATTCTGCGGACCCGGAAGAACTGCCTATGGCGATGGATCTTGTGTTTGTTGCTCTGATGCGGGCAAAATGTGTAAGTATTGTACAAATCATACGAAATTGGATTGAGGGAAGCGAATCCTTGAATTATGACTCAGTATAACTAGTCTAGAATTTTCCTTCTTCCTGTTTCTGGTTTTCACAGCACGTATCGCTATGGTGTTTGGTACTGGTAGAGCCTCCGACTTATGAATATCTACAATCTGTATGCATCAGTGGGCCATTCTTACTTGCGGCTTTTCCGCTTGGCCTCACTGCGGCATACAATTTCACGATGTGGGCGGAACGTCCCACCGTTTGTTCCACGAAAAGCCGCGCTTTCTCACTAGCCTCTGCTCTGCAAATGTCGAGTCGATTCGGTAACGTTTGCCCAAGTCTGACACTGACGAAAATTTGTGGAGATGTTCATTAAATAAGAATGGACCGGTCCAGTGCCGTTCCCGGCTGATACATAACGTATTGGATCTGGAGGCCGCCGGTTTTCCGTGGAAGACCATGCCGCTGCCTGGCGTCGGGCGGTGCTCAGTGTTCGGCCGGCCGGGTGTTCCGCCCAGCCGCTGTGACGCCCTCGCTTGTACGGCGCTCCGCTGTTCGGCGAGCACGCCGGGGTAGTGTGGCGCCGTGTGTGGACGCCGCGCGGCTGACGGACGCTGGGGATGAATGTAGAGGTGGTCCTGAGCATCCCAACGAGGATTGAACGCATTGCGGTGACCACTGTAAAGCAAGCCTGTTTTTAATTTGCTCATCTGCCTGTACCGCGCTAAGTTTGCGCATTAGATACGCGAGCGGGGTTTGGAAATGTTGATTGAGCCTGTATTCCAAAGTTCCTTGAGACCTAAGTTTTAGCGTTGCTCGCCCCCGCCTCAGTATCAACCGTTCTTAGTGAGATGAATGGCATCGTTAGTCGTAGATTTACGTGCTTGGCGCGGACAGCCAAACTTCTGGGCGTCATTCTTGTCGGCTGCGGTGCTCGGCTCGGATGTCGGCCCGTCTAACACTCACTAGTTTTAATTGCAGCGTCCCTGCGGCCAGTCGGGCGCGCCGCCTCCTCGGATTCTGCCCCAGAGACTCTGATATCCCTGAACGCTCATCTGTTGCGCTGGTGCGCAATCTCCGGCAGTGCGTACTGCCTGCTTTTGAGAAGCGTCATTGGATATTTTTTCCTTGAATATTGCATCAACGGTAGACGATATATTGCCTCGTCTTATTCCTATAGTTCGTTTTTTTTAAGTTCGACCCTCACTGTAAACATCTTTTTGGAAACAGCACGAGAATTGCTCGCTGAATTACTGAGAAAACTGGTTAGCGCACATTGTATTGGAGATATGAACAAATATTTTCAAAATGCGTTTCTAACATCAATGATATTCTGTTACGTTAAACGCCGTGCGATTTATTAATTAGTTCAGTTATACTGCCTGACAAGTCCTCGATCCTTGTGGGGTTGCAAATACTGAGCTGCGAGTCTGGGAAAATGGAGTCAGGTAGAAATAATTTGGATACAATTGATCGTCTGCGAAATCATTGTGCGCCAACGAGTTTTCTCAGTAATTCAGCCAGCAATTCTCGTGCTGTGTTCAAAGAGACGTTTACAGTGAGGGTCGAACTTAGAAAAAACGAACTATAGTTTACTTTGTTTACGCTGATTAGATTCTGAGTAGACATGAAGCGAGGACGAGCCACGGCGATATTGAGTCCGCCACTCGTACCTATCTCTGATTCCTGACTGCTCTCCCTGGAACGGTGATATTACGCTAACCGCCGGACGGCCGACCGAACGATCGCCCAACCCTGCTTCGCTCCGCTGCAGTGCGCAGCGGCCAGCCTGCTGAAAATCGAGATCGAGATCGGTGCAAGTTGTGTAACTTTGAAACAACTTGCTGATTCGCAGACGTTCCTAAAACCTAGGATATTGCCTCTCGGTACTGCTTTTAAGAAGCCAAGAGGCTTTGCCAGTTCCGCATGTATAAGTTATGCGTATAAGTTCGGTAAAGTCTGGGCGATTTTTGCACGCCCAAATGTACTCAGAATAAGACGGAGAATCATGATTAAGCCCACTCAATCTGCTGCAGCTGCCCATTCTGCAAACATGCTTGATTTCAAGGGTCCGACTTCTACACTCATAGACCATTTCGTCTTCAATTTTAATGCGTTCGGGTTTGTTCGGATTCGGATTTGATTTCAGCTATGTCACACACACACACACCAGACTTTGCATGAAGCATATGTTCTGTGCACGTTAAATCGTATCAACATTTTCATTGTCCACCTGTGCCAGCTTTTTATGAGACGTGATGCGCTCATTCCACTTGTTTGCCAGTCGATGCTCACCTTCTCAGGCATCGATGGTGGTAATATCGATTCTTTTTTTCCGGAGGGAAGGCGCGCATATTCAGGGCTAAACAGCAATCCAAACTGAAAGGTGTGATGTTCGTAAGTATTTTCAATTAAAGCTTTAAAATTGTATGGATGTTTTGGAAAAGAAGCTAGTTGGCAGTTATAACATACGGTGTTGGTGAAAGCTTCCTTTGTGCGGCGGGCCGGTCGCTTTCAATCTTCTTGGCCGGTAGGTGCAGCTGGCGTTGTCGTGACCAACTCGTCCGAACTTAAATCGGCATCGAGTCAGATTACCTATCGGTGCACGGAGCGCGTGCGGATCGATGTGGAGCGGAGCCCGCCGGACCCGTTAACCGATGACCGCTGTCCGTTCCAGCCCAACTGCTACTCGCGTGTGGTGGACATTCTGGGGAAGAAGCACATCATCATCTTCGCCCTGCGAAAGATCCTGCGCGGGGAGGAGCTTACGTACGATTACAAGTTTCCGATTGAAGAGGACAAGATCCCGTGCACGTGCGGCGCGCGGCGCTGCCGCAAATACCTGAACTGAGGACTGAGAGGACTGGCGAGACTGAGCTCGTCAGGAGGAGCGCCCTCCGCTCCGGCCCGTACCTGTGCGCGCTGTGGCTGGCGGCGCGGCGGCGCCGAGCCGCCCTGTGATTTTTACAAGTCGGTGCTTTCTGCCGCTTCGTCTGCGCGGGAGCTGTGCGAGTGAGCGATGCGTCTGCGGTTGGGCGCGCGCGCCGCGTGTAGAGTGTGATACCGGTGCGGCCGCGGTCCGGCCTGCGCACTGGGTGTAGTGTGATAAGCATGGCTGGTGCATGGCTTGGTAAGAGGACGAGCGCGCAGCGCTGCGCTGTATATATATACGAATTATATCGATAAGCATCACCGGAGACTGTGGGCCGGTCTGTGATTGCCGGCGGCGCCCTCAAACCTGGAGCTGTGGACCGAGAGCGACGCGATGCGACGGGAGGGGGAGGGGGAGGGGGAGGGGGAGGGGGGGAGGAAGTTTGTGACCGAGGTTTACGTGCCCGTGAGTGAGCTCGCGCGGCGCGAGCGCAGTGTGGTAGAGACGCATCATGCGCCGTCTTTAGACGCCGATTTAGCGTGCGGCAGTGCAGTGCGGCGGCGCGTCTTGGCCGCGGTAGCTGCGCGCCGCTCGTGTCAGTGGTAGGAGCAGGCGCGCCACTAGGCCGCTGCACTCGTCTTTCGGTCGGAGAAGCTGTACCGGTGGAGCTCGGGCGGTGCACTCGGCGTGCTGCGCCGCCTCCGTGCCTTTCCAAGGGAGACCTGAATAAAATGTGATACCGTAGTTAAGGCAATTCGCGCGTTTGTCGAGTGGAGGGAGTTTGTGGCGCCGAGTATGATGGGGGCGTGGTGGGGAGACCGGTGGACGGGGGATGGGTGCAGGGTGGGAGACTGGTAGACGGGGATGGGTACGGGATCGGGTATCAGGGGGTTGGTCGGCGGGGAGGAGGGGGGAGCAAACCCCAGGGAGAAATGCCCGGAGACGTAGCGTGCCCAGTGTTTGACTGATGCAGACTCTTGTGGTTTCAGACTTTGCTGTTCCGCTCGCGATTCTGACAGAATTTGCTCGATAGCTCTGATAGTTCCGGTATGTTCCAGTTTGTTAGGATGTATGTCTGAACTGGAATAATTGAGAGTTGAGACCACAAGATCAAAATTTGACAAATATACTCACGTTGGGTTTACAGCGTCCTGAAATCGTATTGATCTCGCTAATGAGATTAGCAGTTATCGAACTTCTGCCAATCGCTAATAGTGCTTTCATGATTCATAGCAACACAGAAATTTGTTAATCGCTTCCGTTTTATTTTGACCAGTCCGCAGAACACAAAAATACGACTTATTAGGACATCAGTGAGCTGAACTAGTAGGACGCCACAGGACACCGGCTCCACCGCCGGGTTCGCGGAGAGGGGGGGGGGGGGCTGGTCTGTACCGCCGGCGGTCCAGCCACAGAGCACGGAGCACACCATCGCCGCGGTGACAGAGCACGGAGCACGCCCCCGCCGCGGCGACAGAGCACCGTACAACCATCTCCAGCTCAGGGGTGCCAGCCGGCCCAGCGGCCCGTGGGAACGGAGCACACATGTCCATAATCCAACCAAATGGCGATAGCACTCAGGGTGGAATGAATGCTAGTGCCGCCACAACATATGATAAACAATGTACATATTCCCAGCAGCATGACATACCGAGCGGACGGTATTCCTCCCGGGTGACAAACAGGACAGCTGAAAATATGGGCATTCGACAATCGCTGTAATATCACCTTTTGATTATGTTGCGAGCGATACATTTGAGATGCCTCGAAGCACATCAAGTTGACCACGCTTTGGTAGAGATCAGTTTCGCCTTCAGCAAGAGGGCTGGCCCGGCCTGCCGAGTATCACAGCTTGTTAGATACGCGGAATTACATACAAATATAAACACTTATTCATTTGAAGAAAATACAAATTAAAAACAATTACTACCGCTACGGCGCGTAAACCGTGCACAGGTGTGTACGTGCTATCGTCTACCGTAAGCGATGTTTAAAAGTAAAACACATTTTGATCATAGCCCACACACGCACAATCCATTGGACATCTACTGTACATACATTGGAACAAGGCCCTAAAACAAACATTGGACAACTGTGTATTCAGGCCTGAAAGTTGACAAAGTGACGAGAGACGAGCACGTCGTTCCGGAAAGGTGAGCACGTCGTTCCGGATGTATAACTCATTAGTCGCTCTGCGCTGCATACGGAGCCTTCTGTTCGAACGGATGGACGAAAGAAAAGTTGTTTTCCTTTCACCCATTCATCAAACACTTTTCATTCACCGATGATTCGCTCATTCCACTGAATAGGTCCGAGGCGTCCAGTGTGGTCCCTCGTCACCATATCGACGCACCCTTTTCTGCAAACCCCGCATCCGTTCTCTTATGAAATTCCGGAAAGCACGGAGGTTCCCTTTTAAAAAGTCCAATCACCCGATCCTGCCCAAATATGTGTGTTCGTAAGCTTCTTCTGGCATTGATTGATCTGTCGAGATCAGAAAAATCGAGTGACTGTACCTTTTTAAGTTTCTTTCCCCCTTGGACATTCACGGGAGAACGGATGTGGTTTGAAAATAAACGCGTCGATATGTATTGACTCCGTCCCTCCATTCGTAACGCGGGACGCGACCACCATGAGACGCCTAACGATGCGTCGATAAATACAGAGTAGGTGAATACCTAAAGCTATCAGTGGATGGATGGGTAGATTAATGAATGAATGCATTTTTTTTTAAAGAAATTTTGTCCGAATGGATGAATGGGTGGCTATGGGCCCGGGTGCCCCGCTAAGCAGAGCTTGTTGCGAATGACACCACGGACCCACCACCCCGCCTTGCCCGCGCTCGGTTCACCGGTGATAATTTGGATCGAAAGTTTAACGTGCCGCAGGTAGATGGCGGCACGGTCCTCCCGGGTCTAGCGTGGCCCTCTCTCGCCAGTTGCCAGCTGGCTTAATATAGGAACGCGGGTCAAACGACGTGGAGCTTCCCGGCCGCGAACTCGCTGCCACCGAGTTTGGAGACGGACGCCTTATCCACTAGGCCACGGGGAGGACATGAATGAATAAATGAGCGAATGAATTGGCGGCTGTCTGGGCCCTCGAGGAATCCAAATCAGAATGAAAATATGCGGCATTCGAAGTAAGCTAGGCAGCATTACCTATTGAGATAATACTCATGGTTTGGGTGGCCAGCACATCTTATTTCATTTGTGATAAGTTATATTGTATTATGTAACATTGTTTTACAAGCGTACCTAATGTTGTTTCTATTGCCACATCTGTCACTGTGTCGAACTTTCACGCCTAAGAACGGTTTCTGTGAACATTGAGTATCAGTTATGTTGTAAATACATGTTCAATGCAACACAAGAGTTCATGTCACACCAGACACCGTTATCCTGATCGCGACACATTTCGCGGCCGCATTCACGCCATGTCACACGACGATAAACTGTGGTGTTCGGCTGGCTCTAGTCTCAGGGGCCTGCGGCCGCCACCGGGCTTCAGAAGGCTGATCTCGGCCGGACCGGTCAGCTGATTCACAGACCGGACTCAGTGCGTCCCAGACTGATGGAGCCGGTGACCTCAGAGCCAGCTGAGGTCACCGGCCGGGTCACTGGACCCGGTCAGGGGTCACAGACTGGTCTCGCGCGCACCGCCCGGCTGCGTGCAGACGCGCGGCGCCGGTGTGGACGGACTCATCGACACGTGGACGGAGGCTGCAACAGACCGCGGGGAGTCCGCCCTCAGCACGGGGAGACGCTCAGCACGGGGAGCCGGCGCTGGGACAGTGATAAACCATGAAACGTCCCAACCTGTGGTCCGGACATGCCCTTTATAAAACACACTGACAGAATATATAAGAACATCTTCTTTACATTAGGAACTGCAGCACCAATAGTGTCCCCGCCCGGGCCGTGCTGTGTCTAGTGTCCCCGCCTGGGCCGTGCTGTGTCTAGTGTCCCCGCCCGGGCCGTGCTGTGTCTAGTGTCCCCGCCCGGGCCGTGCTGTGTCTAGTGTCCCCGCCCGGGCCGTGCTGTGTCTAGTGTCCCCGCCCGGGCCGTGCTGTGTCTAGTGTCCCCGCCCCGGCCGTGCGTCTGAGGGGCCCCACCTCTCTGGTCAGTGCCGTCGGCCCGGCCGCGTCCGACTGCGTACCGTTTCGGCTGACGCCGCCGCCGGAGTGGGAGCTGGCCGGGCTGACCAGTGCCGGCGGCGCCGGCGGCCGCCCAGCGCTCGGCGCGTGCCGCTGTGCCAGGGCGGCCGGCGGCCGACACCAGCACGGCAGCCGCAGCGCCGCGCGCAGGTCCGCTCTGAAACACAGGTCACTCCGTCCGTCAGCAGATACCTGGCACATAGGAATGTCTGCATAGGAGAGCCGGTTTGTGACAAAACACATCCAACTCGCCACCTGTGACCAATCCGGGCCCGGCTGGTTTTGGCAGTGTTCTTGCGGCAGGTCTGAATCACTCAAGGCTACTTTACCTATGCATAAGTAATGACCAGAACAAGGAGTATTGCATCCGTGGATCGAGCCTCCCACGGTTCTGAACAGACCGGGATGTCCCATCTGCCCTAGCGACACAGCCGTAGATGCTGGAAGACGGTCTCACAAGAATATATCGCACCCTCCTCCTATTGAGTAACATCCCGCCGGATCACAGCGAAGACACAAGCTTGAAAGCAATAATTACGGTAAAATACTGCACCAAATCAAATGGAAACGTGCTCTTACTGATTTTCACGTCCGATCGATTCGGGTCACACCGATGCCCGATGTCAGCAATAAAATGTGTTTCCGTAGCATTAGAAGTAGGCATTAGAAGTAGGCATTGATGTCCGATGCCGCTGCAATCCCCACCGAGTGCCACGCGAACCGACTACGTCGCAGCACGGCCGCTGACGAAGCCACTCCCCGCTCGCTTCAGAGCTCAATTACTTTTCCCTGACCTCCTCAGCCAAACCTCTATTTGTCACGTAGCGGGCCGCAGATGAAGAGACAGACGCTCTAATCGGCGGGCGGCCGGCGGCTCAGCGCGAGGCGGGCGGCCCGGGAGGAGCCGGCAGCCGCGGGCCCAACACCAAATCCGACTCGATGAAACGGTTCAACCAGCCGGCGCCCACTCAGCAAACAGCGGCGAGTAATTATGATGCATCATACTGCTCACGACACATTCTGTAATGATCTGATTCGGGCGTAGACGGCCGAATTAGCGGCGGAGTCCGCGCTCTGCCGCCGCTGGCCGTCTCACCCCTTTACCTTTATATGCATCAATGTATTCCAGCGGTGTCAAGTGTGGCATTATGACACGACTACTGGGCACGATGGTCCCCTCGTGTGGCTAGGGCAGCGAAGTAAGAGCCCTTGCCCGCCGAGCGTGCCACATCATCCCTTCCAAGAACTGCTCAAGAACACGTGGACGATTCGGACCGAAATTGTATACGAGCTCATTCTTCAGACGCAAAACCTGATGGCCACTTTGGTCTCGTTCCAGGTCGGATCACTTAGGTGTGACGTCACGTCGGGTTGTGCTCGGCCGGAGTCGGCAGCATTTGTGCCCGGAGTGAGGTTTCTTGCGTCTAGCATAAGTTTATGCACTGCAAGAAAGGTAATCATTGTTTTTATCCTTGGAGGCACGTAATGTTGTGTCAATATCAATGTGCAGACGTCGTACGCGGTTGAGGGAGAGGCTGTGTGGATAGGTACTATTTTTCAGATGCAACTCATTCTTATTTCTTTTTTATCTTACCGGCATCAGTCGGACTTGAGTTAAATGAATGCTGGATTCGTGGTCAGCGCCTACAAATAACGATTGCAGTAACCACCGGTCAGAACCGCGCTCTTTTCCAGACTGTGTGCCTATTCCCTTTCATGGTATAGCTTTTCATCCTATTTATACAATATACCTACGCGATGGCCCGATGCCCACGGCACCGTTCGTTTTCAGTCACATCTTCTCCGACATGCCCTAGCGTCGTCCAAGCCGCTGTGGCTGGTCATCTGAGATCGACATTGAACCTGACCTGAACCCAGCAAAACCATATCCGTCGACCGTTCCTGAAGAGAATAACATGTTGGTACTTGGTAACATCACTACAGCTCTGCAGCCATTTCTTTAGACATCTTTTCAAAAACCGAATCCGGATTAATAATGACCTGGAGCTGCGAGGTGACCAATCGATCTGAGACCTTACTGTCACCGCTTTCACCGGCTTCAGCTTGTGAAGAGGAGCGCGCTTCTTTTCAGCGACGCTCCAGCTCAGATTGGGGCCAAATGTGATGGAGGTCGTAGCAACCCCCAGCGTGCCGACGGAGGATGCAGAATGGCCAAGGCCGGCGAGGGCTGAACGTGCCTAGTTCTTATATGTAAGATCAATAGTAAGAATAGCTGAATAGCTTTTCATACTATTTACACGCGACGGCCCCACGCCCGCACCGTTCAGTTTCAGGCAGCACAGTGTGAGTGAGTGCACATGCTAACTGAAGCCGTTTCGCCCGAGTCTAGAGGCATGCAGTGTATGTCTCGCCCGTAATTTACTCACTCAGTGAAATAAGCTCCCTCCAATGAGCGCACGAGCGCCGGCGGGCCCGCACAAAAAGGCGGCTCGATTACGTCCCAGAATATACGGCGGTGGCCGCGGCCGCCTCCAGCTCCATATCAATGCCCGCAGGCCCATTCATACGGCTTCATCAATATTTTGTCGGCTTACGCCGCAACCCAAAGAATAATTGCCGCATTCGAGCTTGCTTACACTTTGCTTATTATTCTGAAAGTGCCTTAATTAGTTGGTTTTCAGGAAAGCAATGTTGAAGTTCGGAGGCTGCAAATTCTAAGGAGCACAATCGATGGAATCAAGGATAAGACTAAATTAACCCGCTCCACGCTGAGGGCGAAACTATTCTAACTTTTCTTCCACTAAGGGCTATTTGATAAACTCAAGGGTTAATGAAAATGCGTGCGATCTATATCTTCAATGGATGTGCTTGCACCTTAATTCACGATTGGTCAGGTCTCGCCACTGTTTTATATTATGTCACATTTTTTACCTGGGCCATTATCAGGTGGGAGTTAAGGTGCCAAAATAGTATATCAGCATGGGGAACCCAGGGCAATCGCTGACTTAAAGCCAGTGGCGGCGCCACGAATTTTCGCCAGTGGGGGCAAGATTGAGGTGACCCGACTGTTGTCTGATACGCCGATCTGCAAAATCCATAAGCATCGCGGGCCCGGAAGGGGGGGGGGGCGTTTTCGCCTCCCCCCTGGCGAATATTTCCGATACCTCACGAACGCTTAGGGATAGAAAGACGGAACTTACTGTACCTTATCCCCCATTAATTTGACATCTTTTGAAGCAAACAAATTGGACCTAGCCTCCTTGATAACGTCTCAGGGCCGATTTTTCTAGACTCCTGCACGGCAAACTTCGACGTCACAGACGTGAACTTCAACCAGATGCCCAAAATAGAGTTTTAGAGATAAAGACAAATTACGAGCACGGTTGGGTAGCAATTGACCTAGCAAAATTACTTAAGTATTTTTGGTGACCTCAGGTCAGAGATCAGGTCAACGACCCTGAGCTGGGATTTTAGTTTAGTTCGCAAATAACTTCAGCAAAAATGGTCCTAGAGCTGCGGCAGTGGTACCTTCGCATTCGTCTTGTCGAGACGCGTCGAATGACATACATGTAAATTGTTTGGAAAAGGTCAAGTTTTATGTTGACCTCATGTGACCTCGAATGACCTTTGGTTGACTTTTACACATGAAAGGCCGTTTGTGATGATTTCGTAGCCACTGGTCATGATTCTGGCATCCATTTTGCTCTAAGCATTCATTTAGAGCATCAGGATGGCAAAACATGTCTTAATCATTATGCCTGAGTTGTATAAGTGAAATAGTCTCTAGCAAGGATACTCTTGTGACTTTGACTCTGTGCTCTGTACCAGCCTTGTATCGTAAGCTTAAGCACAAATAAGGGTCCGCTAAGCTCCAAAACATTTCAAAACATCTCGGAATCTAGTATACAAGATATAAGAAAAATGCAAAGTTTGTGGTCAGTTTTGCGCATAACCGTGACCTTGAATTTGAATGTTATGCACCTCATCGGAATCCGAATCCCCAGACTCTCTTCGTTCGTTTACCATCCATTTTAGCCGGTTTTATACACCATGCCGTCCTCTGGAACACGTACTTTGAGTGAGACCACTACAAAAGTGCCGGTTTTTGCCTTTGACCTTGACTTCTGACCTTGAAAATTGGCCTGAGGTCAAAAAGTTTAGGTGCTTTAGCATCTTCTCGTAGATACCTTTCGTTTGGTACCATTTTTGTTTCCGTAGCTGCCTTATTAACGTTGTTAGACAGGTGGGGGAGGGGGGGGGGGGGCTACCCCGGGCTGCGGTGGTTAGGATTACCCCCGGGCCCGGACGGGTTAGGGTCGCGAACAAATAAAACTATAAAACTAGATTGCGACTTGCGTGACACAAACCTGTGAAAACGTTATGTTGTTCGTTGAGATGTAAAATGGTTATTCCTCACAACAATAGTCGGTACCTAGTTCTCTCTTTCCCGTAGAACGTATATGTGCGATTCTCTCACACACGATTGATACCTATACCAGAATAAGCTCCATTAGGGCGACCCACATACATTTCCAGATAACCCGAATATACATACCTATCACATTTTGTCATACCTCCCTGAGCTCAGTCTCAGTGTCAGTCTAAGGGTTCCCAAAAGAGGGTGATCTCTTCTCTGGACGACTTTTGACAAACTGCCTCTCAACCTCCTGGAGGTCAAGCTCGAGGGGCGAGTGCAGCCTTCTGTTGAATGAAAATGAGTGGAGAATGAGTGGGAGTAGGAGAAATGCGACAGACGGTCCGAGAACGAACGTTCTGCTGATGCACTTCATACGGGGACCGTCAAAAACAGGCGTACTACAGGGTGTCCCAGAAGTCTTGAAGCTTTTTTATTTTTGTCGTGTGACCTTGTTATGCCACTGATTAAGGCAAATGACGCCTCAAAAGAAAGAGAATGAACTGAAGTTTTGTATTTTCATGCCTAGAGCACCACCAAAGTCAGGTGGCCCCCGTTGTGAGTCGCACAAGATTGAGCACGAGAGATCACGTTCTCCGCTGCCGCCAAGATCTCCCGGTTTGCGAAACACCGGTGTCGCCATGCCCGTTTCTGGTCAGCTTCAGAGCCTTATTTCATGAAGCGAGCCAGGAAACAGAGTATTGGATCTCCGAGAAAACATTAGCAACATAATGATTTACTGATCAGAAAGTCTCCTGACATGTTTGCACGCATCCATTACG